GGCTCCTGAGGTGGTTCCACCTGATTCAAATTGTTTTCGACTTGCCGGGCTGTTTGGAGGGGCGATTTGTCCGATTTTCTCTTCCTTGTTGTCATCGCATGTGAGTTTTTGCTTCTTTTTGCTTTCTGGATCATCTGGATACCCGTCCTCGTCCGACCTCTTTGCGAGCGGTCGTTTCCACGCGCTACTCGAGGAGCTTCCTTCTCCAAGGCGTTGTTCTCGTCTTCGTCCCGCTTTTTTGAGTAGTTTCGAAGCTTTATGACTTTTCTTGTCATTGTTTCCGAAGTACCCTCGGACATTAAGTTTTTTTTCAAGTTTTCCTTAAAGTCATACATTTATCTAAAGTTTATATCTAACCTACCAGTAAATATTCCTTCTTCAGTCTTGTAGACCTTGCAATGGCGTTTTATCTCAGCGAGTGGAAAAATAACACTTCGTGGCATAATTCTGAATGAGTTATGCCGAGGCAATCCGATGAATTCATGAAGTTATTTTTTCACGCCTTTTTATTTACACAAATCAAGATTGAATTCAGAATAGAGTTTTGAAATGCCACAATGGAATTCTTCGCGGAGCTTACGGCAACTAGTTATTACCACAAGAACAGAAATTTCTTTTTGGACGGTCAGATAACAGAGATATTGAAACGTCCAAACGATTCCCTCCAAAACTACAAAGCTGGAGATAAAATTTCGATAAAATTCTCACCGGAAATTGCAGGAGAATTTTCTTGGCTCATTGGAAACCGAATTTGCTTTTTTAAAGCGGTTCGCGCGGAGCCGAAGAAATTCCCTAAAAACGGTGTTACTCACGAGCTTATCGTCACTGAAGCAAAAAAATGCGTTCTCTCTCTGGCAGAGTCATAGACGACATCAAATTTCACCACCCCGCATCTATTCAAGTCATCGGCGCAAGCGGGTAAAGTTCTTATCTTTTTTCGAGAATTAAAAATATTTTCAGAACTGGAAAAACAAAATTTGTTGAAAAGCTGATACGACATCAATTTTTTACAAAAAAAATCAGACATGTTTTTTATTTTGGAGCCATCAATAATTTACCGATCGATTGGGACAACAAGTTGCCTGATGATATAACTATAAAGTACCAAGAAGGGCTTCCTACAACTTCAGATTTCATAAATGTTCCGAAAAGAAGCGTGATCGTGATTGATGATCAGTTCAGTGACGCTGTTAATTCACCTGATATCAATAGAGCTTTTACTAACGACAGAAGAAAATTTGATTTTAATCTCATCTTGATTACTCAAAACCCATTTGAAAAAGGGAAATTTACGACTGGAAATCGGCGTAATACTGAGATCACTGTCTTGCTAAGAATGTACGCCGATCAAAGTCATTTCAAAGTCTTCGGCAAACAATATGGCGTGGAGCGCGAGTTAGAAGAAGCTGTCAAGGACATGAAGTCAAGACCTGAAGATGTGCATGCCCATATTGTTATAAATGGCAGTATAAAACTCAAAGATCAAAACTTAAGAGTCATGTCAAATATATTTGGTGATTCTCCTTATTTGCAACCCTCACTTCCAATCTGCTACACTCAAAAACATCATTGAAATAAATCATCCTCTGTTTTTAACCTTGCTTTACTGTATTTATTTGATAAATCATTTTTTGATGAGCAGTTTTTTTCAAATTTAGGACGAATCTTCGGTATCCGATTCGTATCCTGGAAGGTAGACTGGACTTGGAATTTCTGCTTTGAGCCATCCTAATTCGGGGTCAGCGAGGAGGTCTGGGGTGATTGCAAGGTCTCCAAATTTTTCTAAATTGATTTTATAATAAGTTTCCGAGGATTTTTAACCGTGTACCTTGAATCGAAATCTGAGCCATTTCGAAGAACTCCTGCATCGCCCTACAGCTACGTCTTTTGAGACCTCCGATGAATGATTTCTTCTCAAAAGTTGGGACGTCATATCGTTGGCAGATTTTGTATCCGAGAGCTTAAATAAATTGGTTTATTGATAAAAATTCTGAGCACTTACAAATAACATAAGAATATGTCAAGAAAGCTCGCTCAACGGAGGTTCCTGCTTTTGTTGTCACGTCTTCAAAGTGGCCGATCAGGTCATCGGCCAGAAGGTCAAATTCCAAATCTCTGCTCGAATTGCAGAGTTTCACATATGAATCAAACCGTTTGTTGTAGAACTCCTCGTTGGCGATATCCTGTGTTATCAAGACAGCGATACGATTTCTAAGGAGATCGACTAACTCTCCATAGCCGTAGTCTGATGCCTTTTTGACTCCAGTGTAAGTCTGGGCCAGTCTTCGAAGAGTTATTCGAGCGCTAAAGTCATTCATTCTCTCAAAGCTCTGAGTGATGCTAAATTTGTCCGAAGGCTTCATTTTATGCAGAACACATGCGAAAAATAACACCTCATCAAAATTTTTTGTCTGCCAAGATAATCTAAATAAAATTCAAGACATCATGTGAAAAACTCATTATAGCGCTGAATAGAAATTCGCTTCAATTGTTTAAAAGAAAGAAATGAAAAAAGAGATTTTTCCATATAATTTTTTTATTACCAAATGCAAGAAGCAACCGAATTGTTTGCGAAACCATTTACTCGTCCAGCTGATAAGAAGCGACTTTCTCAAAAAAGGATATTTCTCTTTTAAACAGAGATCTGGCTTCTGTGTTCTATTCTCGGCGCCCATTGACTTTGTTCGTCCGATATATGTCACAGTCGATCGTTCTGACAGAATAGAAAGATTGGATGAAGGCACACGAAGACGACTCCTTATTCGCAAAAATAGGGGATCTCTGAAGATTGCTATTCCTGCGCGAGTTTTTGAACATAACTGTGAATCAAATGTCTGCAAAGATCGGACCAAAATTCTGAAAAATCTACGAGTACTGTTTCATACTGATTCTTACCTCCCAGATATGGTCATTACTTCAGAGAGTGAAATCGGACAACTCTTTTCCGCAGGTCTCTGGGATCAGCCAATAACTGTCACTTTCCATCAATAAAGCTTTATCCAAAAAAAATTATGTTGACCCTTATTTATGCATTTATTTTAAAAAAGCATTGATTAGGATATTGAAATTTGAGCGTTCGGAGCAAAGGGTGTGAACGGCCACCCTCAAGACAACAGAATCCATGTTTCTCGGACTCTGGCACTAAATTCTAATTACGCGATTAGCCTGCCAAAATCATAAAAATAAAAATTCAAATTGGTATCTAAAGAGTTTCCTTTATTATCAAAATAACTTAGCTAAGAACAAAAATTTTCAGTACGAAGCAGTATTTCTCACAGGATCGATCGAAAAGGTCAGCTCGAAGTTTTTTCGTCGCTCTCTTGATGAGTGTTTTTCTGATTTCTCCAGCGTCATTTTTATTCAGATGTCCATCTTTCTCGATGACTCGTAGAAGAGTTCCAGTCAAACGTAATGCAAGCAAACCATCGACGCTTGAGGACCGCCCATCGACCCAGTGGTATCGATACATTTGCTCATAGAAACTGATGATCGTATTATGGGCGTCACGCTTAGTCTTTTTTTGTTTTTTGCCGTAATACTTGTTTTTAGCTTGTTTGAAGGCATCTCGAATGTAAGTTGCTGATCGTTGTTCCATTTCGGTTTCGTACAAGATAAAATCGATTATTTTTTTCAGTGCTTGGTTCTCCTTAAGAAAAATTTACGGCAAAAGCATTTTTTGATTTGATTACCGGGGTGATATGAGCCGTCTCATTTTTCGGCAAAATGATTGCTTCACATCCTGCATTCAGCTGTTCTTCCGTGAGCGTTGGAGCGGCAGTGGTAGTTGCCGCTATTAAGCGAAGTTGGCCGAGATTAAAAATGATAACAAAAAAAAGAATAATTCCTGCAAGAATTCTCTCACGTGTCTCTTCCATTTTACGGAATGGAATGATATCAAGAATTAAAAAAAAAGAAACTTTTCTTCGCTTAAAAAGTGTTATTTTTGACACTTTTTTTTGGCTGAGGTTTTTACTAGTTTTCATGCGTGCATATTAACAAATACAATCTTGATGGCAATTATTTTATTGCAGTATAATTTCATAGATGGAAACAATTTTTAACAATATGTTAGTGGAAGGAAGAAATTTCAGTAGAAAATAAAATATAAAGTTTTGACATTTTATGAACCATATAAGAAATTTTAGAAAATTTTAAAATGATTAAACCTGAAAGGCTATCATCCGAGTTTTCATTTTACTGGTTCATTTTATGAATAAAAAAATGATTGATCAAATCGTGCAAAAAAACTTGCTTGATCATAAACACGCAGAAAAATTTGATTCATTTAATCACTTTTAAAGAGACTGTTGAAGATTTCGATTCATTTTATTAAAAAAATAATAGGGAAACTTTGATTGATTTTATCGAGTACTTCGTTTCTAATTTAAGATGCCGGACAATGATGCCGATTAACAAGTTCAAGTTCTTCAGGATTTCGATTCATTTTATCATTTAGTTTTGATAAATGCCGGACTATGATCGTGAAGTTGCAGAGGATTACGATTCATTTAATCATTTAAAATATTTCTTGTCGTGATCTTGAAGTCGTGGCTTCATTGTAATTGGCGATAATGGATCTCTCTTCTAATCAGTTTTTATTTTTTTTCATATTTTTACTGTGATTGAAATCGCAAGTTGGATTTGTTTATAAGGTAAAATTTCTCAATAAAACAGCGCCGTTATTTTTTCTAGGCTGCTTAAATTTGAAAGACCTATTTCTCAAAGTTGATTCTATTGAATTTAGGTTAGGGGTCAAATAAATTCTGAGACGATCATCTAAAAAAATCTTCTGTGAAATAAGCCGCACTTTAATGCAGAGCGTGTGCCCATGCTGAGCGCGTGCCCATGCTAAGCGCGCGCCTCTTGCGTAGCGCTTGAATATTCTGAGCTTACATGCACGCGCTCAGCAGAGCAACGCGCTCAGCAGAGTAGCGCACTCAGCATATTGAGAAACATGGGAGTAAAATCAGTATACAAACACATTCTTGCAGAGGTGCGACTTAAATTGAATGCGCGCGAGCAATGTTTGTTTTCCGAAGAATAGTGCGAACGCGCAAAACGAAAAGGATAATACTACTGTCGAGTTTGATTGAAATCAAATTCTCAAATCCGACATCATTCGGGTCGACGATCCAGTCGGTTCGCGCGCTCGGATGCTTCTTGCGACGAGGATCTTCTTCTCCACGAAGAAGCAGTGCAAGAGACAGGTCTCTTGGTTTGAGAGACACTCGATTTGCGTGTTTGGCAAAGAGTCCTGCATCAGCAAAGACCTCGATGATGCGCTGCTCGACTTCAATTTGGAGTGGTTTCAAGGCAGTCACTTGCATCCGGAAGTCACGTTTGATGTCGCGGAGGACACTTTTACACATTGAACGGAACTGTGCCTTCGGAATGATCAGCTCGTGCAGCGGCTGGTATCGTCGGACATCTCGAGGAGCTGCTTTCCCAGGCTTGAGGCTGGTTTTTGATGGAAGCTGCTTTTCGACTGTTTCTAGAACAGGTTTGCAGTTCCGTCGTCGATGAAGGCGTTCTTCATTTGCAAAAGTCGGGCGTCTGGCTTCAGTTTTGTTTGGCGGGTTAGCTTGTTTAGTTCTTGGCATTGTAAGTTGCCGGAGATAACTTTTTCAGAAGGCATATTTGGTGGTTTTATTCGGAGAAGGATGCTATGAGGGAGACAACCCCTCGAATCGAGGGCCTCGATGACCAATTTGAATAGAATGAAAACAAGAAAGGTCTAGAATCTTTCGATGGAAAAAATATTCTCCCTGCTTTCTAATCCATGCTGCCTATCAAATCATAAAAACAAGTCCAGAAACAAACAGAACACGCATTCATAACTTGCCGAGTCGGCAATGCCGACGTGAAAAAATGATTCAAAATCTTTTGGCTAAATCAAGTATTTTGACCTTGGTGGCCGGTACGTCAACTCCAAATTATTCGGATTCTGGATAAAAAATGGAACGCTAAAAATGAAATCGAAATGAAAGGGTGTTCCAGAGTTTGTATTATGGACACTTCCGGTTTACGGTCCTCAGTTTTGATCATCAAAAGATGGAAATTCAGACAATTTAATTAGCTATTCTGTTTCGTTTTGGAATAAATACCATGCTCTAGAAAGCTTGATGTACATTCAAACTTTGAATTTCAAAGGATCAATCCGCCAAAGCAACTAAGCAAAAGGAAAAATTACTCAAGAAATCTGAACACGATCAAAGTAACAAATAACCAGGTTCAACAGCTAATACTGAAAATAAAGCTGAGTCAAGCAATGAGCTTTAGATCCTCCATAAATTATGGACCATAATGGACCCTTGGCGTAATTTCCCCAATAGGCTTCTATTTAGTTGACTTGCCTAGCTTTCTTTCTAAAACTCAAGCGACGCGATTAAAATTCAGTAAGTCTCTGTAAGTTACTCTGTTGTACATTTCTAAGACGCTTTCTGCTTGTGTTTTGAGTGAGCTCGTAATAGTCGGTGGCACTTTCGATAATCTCCAAAACCGTCTACAAAGTATATCTATATTACATGTACAGTCAGATCGCTTATGCAAGGCGGAATAAAAAGTCATGAAGAAAGTTTCTGAATGTAAGAAATAGACCGAATGTCGAAATTCTACCTGGTACTTGTCCAGAAAGGCTTCATCCTCATCATCAACGCGCGTGATGCGCGGTCGTGGCGCTCGAGCGCGCCCTTTGACCGCGCGCCGTAGCGCCTGAAACGCGGGTTTATAACCGCGCGGTTGGCGGCAAAGAAGTCATCCAAGCCAATAGAGCTAGATAGATAAAGAGTAGCTAGACAACCTCAACGAATAATAAAAATGAAAGTTTTTGCATTCCTGGCTCCATTTGCCTTCGCTGCCACCGAAGAGGAAATCGCTCAAGCTGTCAGAAAGATCGGCCGACTTCAAGGCCACATTAACACTTTCCTCGGTCTTGAGGCTTCTCAAGCTGGTACTGTCGAACAGACAGCTAAGCTCGCTCTCAAGAATCAGAAGATCTGGGATTACTACAACCGATTCGACCTCGCCGCTTGTTACGGGTTCAATATCACTCTAAGAAAATTCTAATTCTAAATTTGAAATAAGCAAAATTTTACAAAAAGAATCATATTTGAACCCTCAAACAGCGATGGAGCTGGTGACGCCGAAGACGAGGACGAATTCGAGCGAAACGGCGGTCGATTCGACTTTAACAACCCATGCAAGTTCATCAACGAACAGCTCGCCCCAGCCGTCAAGAGAACCTTCAAGGGAAACACTTGCCAATCTGCCTGGAAGAACAAGAAGACTGACGAAAACGGCAACCCCGTCAACGACACCAAGGGAATGCGGTAAGATATTTGTTCATAAAATCTCTCTTTTCAACATTTATTTCAGATCTCTCAGCACAATCGAACGAAAAGGAAACGGTCTTGCTCGAGTCTTGCGCAAAGTCTACAAATGCGAAAAGCCATCCGAATAACTCCTTTCACTCCACTTCCCGCCTTTCTACTTCTAGACCAGCGACAAATCCCGACAACGTCGATAGAAGTGATATAATATCCGATGAAATACTAGTCAAGCCATCGGCGTATATTATATCTCTCACTGCACACGTTGTTTCAATTTTGGCGCTATTGAAATTTGGACCGTCATTTTTTAACATGCGCTCGGCCTTCGAGAAAAAACTGGCCTTTTCTCTGTGTCCGATCTTATTTGTATATTTTATAAATCAACTTTTATTAATAAAACTAAAATCACAAAAAATCTTTTGTCTTTATTTTCAAGCAGCGAGGCAGGGTTTGATAGTTATCAGCAAAAAATCAAACGGCAAATTCCAACTCGTCCAAAGATTTTTTTCTAAAAAGAGAGATGAAAAAATTACCTCTATATTTGCATTGCTGGCTTATTCTTTGCATCGGTACTACCTTAGGAAAGTTTTCGATAAAAAGAATTTTTAATCTCATATTTTAATTATTCTTCCTTGTTGAAAATAATAAAGTGATCATGCATTTGCTCTATTCCCCAAAGCACTTGGAGGGTCAGAAGCTTTCGAAGCCAAAGATAAAGGTAGCTTGTTTGAATATAATTTTTTGTTTATCAAATTTTGTTTAGTTAGGGTTTATTAAAATTTTGATAATCTTGGACTTGAAAACATCAAATTTTGAACATAAAATATATAAAATAACGTTATTTTTACTCGCTGAGGCTGATTAAAATCCAGTTATGAGAGGCATCTCAACATTTATTATTTAGCTGCAAAATATTCGTGGCTAAAGAGATAGCAAATCGTGTGCTACTGACCCGTAGTTTCTAAATTACATCATAAACGACTAACGCGTGTCCGTTCGTTTTTATCCCAAATACCATTTCCGTCTTGCTTTTTTGTCTTTCAAAGCTATTTTGGGAATATACTATTATCCAGTTAAATCCACATTAGAGTTATTGTTTAGGTTTCTAGCGAAGTGTTTGCGCCAAAGCATGAACATGTTTCGGAAGACAATGTCTACAAAACCACCGATGATTTTGGGCACAATACGGAATCTGAAAACTACGTAAGTGTTTTATTTTAAAAACAGTGTCGAATCACGTTTTGATGTGCTAAGCGTTGTGTTTTGTATTAATTTGGTTTCGGGAATTTAATTACAACACTCGTGCTATTCTCTTTAAAACATTCTAAAGCTAGTTTTTAGCTAATCAAGAGCCTGGACTACATCGAGGCTCGTGCAAAGAAGATGTTCCACAACAAAGCTGAGCTCAAAGCCTATCTCAAAGGGACCAGGGCTTTAGATAGTACATTCTACTGTCATTTATTTATAAGCCCAGTACGTGCCAAGGGCTCGTTAGTGAAACAAGGAATTGCTTATCACGAACGCGTTAGAGCACTTTATTACGTGGCTTATGTTAACTTTTACCAGCTTATTTTTTATCTCACGAGCTCTAGACTCTAGCTTACAGACTAGATTGCTCGTAGCAGTCTAAGCCCAACGAAGAAGCAAAAGGACTCGAGAAAGAAAAACGAAAACGCCTCTACAAAACAATCAAACACATCCAGCATTTTTAATCTTTGTAGCTCACAATAAATAAAGCAAAGGTCTTCTTATGCAAAGTTTCAGTCCCATTTTATCCACTGGAGACGTGTCGTAAGGTCTGTTGTTTTCCACTTCTTTTCCTCCCTGAAAAAAGTTGACGTGGTTTTGTCTTTGTTTCAAAAATTTCTTACGTTATTTTTCCACGAGCGCAGAGTTGAAGATAGTCTGAAGGTCTTACTGAAAGAGGCTGCGCCAAAGTGTCAACCAGAAGTTCAATATAGCTATGGAGAGTCTCTTTAGTATTTTCATTAATCGAGAAATTTACCTGAGAGCCAGACGCAAAGTCTCAATCTTTGAAATTTTTCTTTCAAATGGAAACGAAGGAACAACATCTCTGAAATTTTACGATCAAACACAGTACATTAATTGGGTTCGGTACGCACCGAAGTCGATCGAATGCTTCATTAATGGTCATCGGTTTGACTTTATCGCTTTTCGGGGATGAGCAAACTCCAGTTGAGTTTGAGGGGTTTTTATCTGCGATTTGGTTTGGAGGATTACAGATTTTAACCGTATCTTGCGGCGGCGTGAACTGATTTGAGCTATTAAAGTTCGTGTCCATTTCGAGAAGACTTCTTGAGGGATGAGGTTTATAATTTTTCGGAAGCTTCGAAATTCCGATAAGATAAGTGGTCGATTATATCATCCCTAGCTAGGCTCGTTCAGAGAATCGTCAAGCGACATATCGGAAATTTGATTTTGATATTCTGGTGCAGAGTAGTCAATAACAAAATCTCCGTCCATCTCGTCGAAAAACGCATCTTGCTTTACCCATTCATCTGCGTAGAAATATCCGGGGTATGGTTCGTATGGGGTACTGTAGAACGAAGAATAGCACTTTAGGGGATCATTATTATTAATAACAATATCGATGTAACAAACTATTTTTAAAAAGAAGATTTCGATCCTTTTCTCTAGCGGATATTGATAAGACAGCGTTTCCCAAGGCGAATGAGTAGAAGTTTCATTGTTCTTAGCTATCTCTTTTGATTTTTCTACTTTTCTATCTTCGCTAGTATTTTCGTCTTCCGTCCAAGTGATCTGGTTTAGGCTTTCCAAAAAAGTTTGATTCCCGACTTGCTCCATCTCTGATAATATGAAGGTCTGATTCTGTAAGCATAGAATAAATCCATATTTATATCAATCTATGCCGCACAATTTCAAACATCCGACTTGGTCAATTATCTGTGCATCATCGACCACTTTCAACTTTCAAAACAATTAATAATATTTATTAACTCAGCGTACTTTAATGTATAAAGTAAATTTAAACAAATGAGAATAAAAGAGCTAAATAGAGCGATCGCTTCCGCCTTCGATTGCGCGCGATCAAAGGGATCGATTTATATTCTCATCCTGGAAGATTTCTTTGTTGCCAATCCTTGGGCAACATGTACCAAAGCTCATTTAGATGACTCTAATAGCGAAAGTGCCCAGTGATAAGAAACCCAAAAAGATAACAGCAGTCATCCGCCTGCGCCTCCTGCCCTTATTTTCAAAGTTTATCGTCTTGTTAGTTTTGCGGGTAAGAATTTATTCCGAATCAGATTTCAAGAAAAAAAGTTTCCAAGAGTCCAAATGTAGTTTACTCGGGTCGTTGGCAGTTTTCCTCCATGCACTTGTGGAAGTTCTGCTGGGCTTGGTGAGCGCATCGTTCTTGTTCTTGAGCATCTTCGAGGGTCTGGCACTTTCGCATCTCCTCGTGGTGACGCTGCTCGCATCGGGTTTTGCAGTCGGGCTCGGGTCCACCTCCGCTGCAGTTGCTCAAGCATTCTCGGTGGTTCTGGCCAGCGTGTCGTCGACATCGCTCCTGCTCCTCTTCGGTTTCGAGAGTTTCGCATCGCTTGAGATGGTCATCCTTGGCAGCATCGCATCGATCCTCGCAGGGGCCGAAAACGGAAACCTGGGCATTGCATCGCTCGGAGCAGCTGGCGTACTCGCCTCGTGCGTAGTTAGCGCATCGTTCCTCAGTTGCACCTTCCACGGCCATGCATCGTCGCATCGCCTGCTGAGCGTAATCGGTGCAGTAAGCGTCACATCGATCGTTCTTGGATTCGAAAACGACAGCCTTTGGAGCGTCTGAGCATTCCTTTTGCACACACTAACTAGGATTCGAAATTTTCCCTCATGATTTTCCCTTTTTATGATGATAATGATTATTTATAAGCGCGCTTTGTCATGGAAAATGCCGACTCAGCTCGTAAATATTAGCTCGTTTGATTTTCCCTTCTCAAGCACTATTAATTGTCTTTTCAAATGAGCTTGAGCTAGAAAAATTTCAAAGCCATCCCGAGTTGTACTGCTCTTTCATGTAATAACCACATTTATCCTCAGAACCGCCGTCATTGATGCACTTCTTGTAGGATTCCTGGGAGTAGCTGTAGCACTTGTTCTCGCAAGCAGTACCTCGAGCAAGTCCTCGAGCGAATTTCTTGGCCATCTTCTCAGCCATTCGAACAGCCTTGGGAGAATCTTTGCAGCTTTTTTCGACGCACTTTCAAGGACTCAAACATATTTTAACCCTTGTACAAAAAGTCTTAGTCAAAGCCTTTCCGAGTTGTATTGCTCCTTCATAAGATACTTGCATTTCTCCTCAGAGCCGCCTTCATTGACGCACTTCTTGAAGGATTCCTGGGAGTAGGTGTAGCACTTGTTCTCGCAATCAGTTCCTCGGATGTGGGGACCGGCGGAAACCAAGGCAAGGAGAGCAAAAGACAACTTCATTTTTAGTTTTAAGACTTGTGATCTTGAGAACATGGAGTGACGAGTATATGATGAAATACAGCTGCTCAGTTCACACGGATATTCTGTCAATCGCAGATGATGACCTTCGCATGATCGTTTTGTTTTGTCTTTTGTAGAGCTCGTCTGCTCATGACAGGAGATATATGTATTCTCCTAGAGAGGTAATGAGTTGAAGGGAAAGCTTATTCGATTTCCTGGGAATCAGAACGTCGGTATTTTTATTACGGGGAAAAATTTAGTGTCTTTCCCTTTTCCCTTCAGAAAAGTTCACTTTTCGAACCTTTGAAAATGCTTGAATTTAAATTATACCCTCTAAATCTTTCTAAACTCTCAAGAATCACCACAAATGGGTGCCATTGTAACTATGAACGTAAGAAGAATGTCGATCATGCCCTATGTTGAGAGTGTCTTCTTCGTTTTACTTCCGATTTAAATTCTTTGACAAGAGCACTATCGAATAGAATTTTCAATGAAACCAAAATATGTGAATTCAGGGAAGTTTAGGTATTTTTAAAAGCCATGGTCTTCAAATGCCAACCACAAGAGCGAAATTTGAACGTGAGCTCGTGGATAACGCACATAACTTGCGGCCAACGCCACTTTGCTGCAGTAATTAGCCAACTGAAGCAGATTATGTGGGGAATTTCGTAACGTAAAATTTTGACATTGTTTCGAATACCAAAAGACACTTGGATATCAAAACAGTTCAATACACAAATGTAAACTTTGTGTATTTTTTTGACTTTTCCTGTCTTTTTTTATCATTTTTGAATTTATTTGATTGATGTTATCACAAGAAATGAACAATAAATTGTCAATTAAGTAAGTTGTAAAAGCGAAAAAGAAGCAAGAAGATAAAAGTTTTTTGTATAATACTATAAACAAAATTTTTAGAGAAAGGATATTAAATTCAAGCACTTGTTTCAAATGAACAAATGAGCGAAATTGGAAAGGGACAAGAGATTTTTTAGAAATTGACTCGTCATTTTCTTCTTCATAAGTAGATTCCTTTGAAGAAGTGTTCTGGTTCTTTTCATATGAATGTATATCTTTTGGGGAATCTTCAATACCAAAAACAGCCTCCAATTGATCCGCGTGGTTGGGTGATTCCTCCGAGGTCCCAACAAACCCAAAATTACTTTTATCTTCTTCTTCTTCCGGTTGATTTTCATCTACCCCTCTGTAGGTCAGGCTACTGGCTCCTGACAGAGGGGACAGGAGTTTTTTTGTTCGAGCCATTTGGTCATGCAGGTCTGATGAAAAAAATGACCGCATTTTGGGAGAAAAGCAGCTTCCTCCTCGTGATCGTCCAAACAGATTGAGCAAGGGTCTTCTTTTTGTTCTGCAGTCAGCTTCTTGATCTGCAGCGCCTGTGTTCTTCGTTGGATTTCTTCTTGAGACGCGACGCCGGGCATGACTGGTTGGTTGACGATACGACCGTCTGGCGTCACAAACATTTGAGGTCGGCCACGGTTCATTGGCTGCGGAGTTGGACGCTGCTGCATGCTTGGCAAGTTGTCGAATAAGCTTGTGAGTGATTGCGTCTGACTAGATGGTCTTGCGACACCAAATGGACTTGACGCTTGCGGTTGCGGAGCCAGCGGGATAGCTGGTCGAGCCATCTGCATTCCTACAAATTTTATGTTAGCAAAAGTCATCGATTTTCACGACCAGGACATTAAAATCGATGAACCCGTGGAGATTTCGAAAATTCGATATTTTTCCAGAACATTGATTTGCAAAGTTAATAATTATTTCGTCAAGCTTTCCCTTCTGCGCGTTCCTTTCTAAAGAATACGGTCTCGCAGATACCGTAACTAAGGAGGGAAAGCACGAGGTCTATCATATGGATGTTAAATCCTGACATTTAGTTTACTTTTACGAGTTAGCTAAACATGATTTCTGAGCTGACAATTCAAAAAATACAAGATTCTTACCTCTTCTCGGAGCTCCAGCTGCCATGTAAGTGGAGGCCCCACTACGTCTGGCAACTCTCCTAATTCCTCCAATTCCCCCTGCACTTGGTGGAGGTCCGAATGCCGATGCTGTTCTTTGAAAAGTTTGAGCTAATGGCGCACCAGCTCTCATTGATGGTTGACTCGAGTGGTGTTGATTGAATTGTGTTTGAGGATGGCTGAGTTGTCCAGGTTTACCGAGTGGGGATGAACTGCTCTGAAGGGATCCCTGTGGCTCTCGAGGCATCGGCTCGTCAACTTTATCTACGAAGTCAGATCCACATTGGTGACAGTTCCATGGATCCCTAACTGTTTCTCTTCGAGCATCACAACTAAAAATTATCTTGAAACTCCGTTAATTTTTCCTCTCTTCTCAGAGAAGTCTCAGAGTCTGGAATTGACTACAATCCATGGAAAATTTAGTGTCTTACCTGAAGCAGTGATACATTTGTCTAGTAGTGTTCTCTACGATTTAAAAATGTCCAAAAGAATTGTGGCTACGGCTCTTTTTAAAATCGTTTCTTTTCCCTTTTTAATATTTGCCAGATAAAAAACGTGACTGCTGATTGGCTGAAACGCTTCAAGAAGGGAAAGTCGCTTCGTCACCTTTGCGCCCGAGCGGATAATGAAACTTATTTCGCATTTTCTGGCTATTTATATTACTGCAAAGGGATATTCATCCCTTTATATTAATCATCATTTGTCACTAAACACATTTGATTTACATCGAAAAGTTATTAGGTATTCATAACGAACGAAAATCAGAGTTGCAAATTTTGATTATTTTTTCCGAGCCGAGCTGAGCTGACCTGAGTAAAAGTTTCTCCGAGCTGACCTGGCCTTTTTCTGAGGTCATTGAGCGGAGCTGAGCTGAGCGGACCCTAATTAGAGCTGAGCTGATTGAGCTGAGCTGTTTTTTAATGTTTTTTTGGTAGCAAAATTGTATTCAAATAATTGAGCTGAGCTGAGTGAAAATTGTCTGAGCTGGGCAGATCAGATCATTTTCCAAAATCACTGAGCTCAGTTCACTCAGCCAGCTCAGCTCAGCAAATTGGCAACTCTGACGAGAATCGGGATTTTCAATCCTAAATTCTTTCTCAATTATAAAATACGAATAGATTAGAGGTTTGAAAATACAACGGTGATCAGAAAATATGGATAACTAATAAATTATTAGTAATAATTATTATCCTTATTGAACAATAATTGATGATGAAATATCAATTTTTATAGATGGTGGAGAAGCCGGCAAGGACTTGGCGGTTCGACTCGTGAGAAGAGGCAATGTCTTTGACGTATCAGTGACACGGTCTTACATCGAAATTCACCCTCGAAATGATGAATCTGGACTCACAATTCCTTTTTGCCAATAAGTTACAATTGTTCTCGATGTCATGAATGTTTTCCTTCTTGATTTCTTAAATGAATTTATTGAAATGAATATATTTTCCCTCTTCTAGTGTCAGGTCATAAATGCCAAATTGTCTACGAATGATAGTTAGATTTAAAACAAATTGTCTTCCTTTACTTCTTCCTATAAATTCAATAGTTTTTTATGACAATAAATTTTCCTGTGGCAGGAAAGTCAAACAAAAAATCATTGAAAACAATATCGACAATATCTTGAAAAGCTTTTATTCATTTTTTTTTGTTTTTCAAATCAGGTCATAGAAATTGTCCTTTCTTGTTGGATAATTCTGTGTCATCGAAATAGTTGTTTGCGTGTCGGTACAGGCATGGTAGATTTTTCCATCATTTCTTGCGCGCGAAACTCTTTTATGTCGTTTTGTGAATCTCCTTGTTGTCATCCGGCTGATCTTTCGCGCTCTAGCTGACATAATATTCGCCTTAAAAGTGATGATTTCAGAATATGAAATAGACATACCATAACCGAGAAAACCCAGTCCAATATCCCGATAAATGTGGCAAACGACATGCCAAGCATAAGTCCGGATGCACCACCAATATCGGACCACAGCTGAACATTTACACATGCCAAGAGTTTCTTAGGTCACTGCCAAGTTTCTAACCTGCGTATGAGAATATTCTTCAACCTCTTCATCAACTGCAGAGCTTCGACTGAAAGATGCATGTTCAAAGTACTTTTGTGGTTCAAGTGCTACCTCAAATACAACATCATGGAAGTCATGATCATGGAATTGTTCTTTGAGTAGGCGCTCCAGTCTTCTTCTTTGAAATACTGTCCCTGAAGATCAATAATTAACTGAGAATTCATATTCAAAGCACTTACGTATTGAACAGCTTCGTGGTGGGTTTCGACCTGTTTACATTTTGGGGGCAGTTGCATCCAGCATAGCTAGAATCATGATCGAAAAATTGGTATAAATTGGCAGTGCAATTTTTCGACCCTTATTTGAACTGCTCGAGAATCGGGGCAACGCAAGACGAATGCACAGAAAACTTGCAAAGAGGCTAAATGGATCGGAATGAAAGCTTTCTCGAAGAAGACATACTTTTGTAAGCTTGCCAGTTTTGATATTAACGGGAAAGTATGGAGCCGAGCAGTTGCATTTTGAATGAACCTTTGAGACAAGCTGTCAAGAAAGCTGACTACTAATCATATTTTTCTAATTTCAGCTCTGGATCCTGATCGAGTAAACATTCGAACAGACATTGATTACGTGTGTAGTTTTTATAGTGCTGAATGAATTGAGTAAAGTTTCAGACATGAACTTACTTTGAGCGAGGAATTAGATTGTTTGCACTCAGAAAATGGGTATCTTTAATCATGGGATGATCCGGGCTTATCTTCTGTAGAAACAAACTAAATCACAAAAGATTTTAAGTAATCTTAAATAAATAATTCAGAGTGGTTTTTCGATACAAGCAAACTTCTTGAGATGCGTCTGGCGCCTAATCTGCAGTTCTTATGAATCATCCCTTTCCCAAGCCGTTTTGTGTATCTCTGACGAAGAGAGACTATTGGGACTCCTCGCGTCACATCAGAAAGCTGTTTTTTGCTTTATCAATAATTTGAAGAAAAAAAGCTGTTGACGATTTAATCTCATTAAAATTGAGGAAAGCGATATATAGGTAGCTCATTTTCTCCGACGAGACTGAGAATTTCTCGTAAATAAAGATAATGATTAGGTCAGGATTTGCACCCCAATCCCTTGAATTTAATTATCTGCAAAGCAGTGTATACATGTGAATTTATATGTGATAAAGCCCGGGATAATATCGATTTCGCAGGCTCGAGTGCTTGATCGTCCAGAGCACTGAATAAAGACAATCTTCAGCGAGTGTTGCACTTTGTTTAAATATCATATAACTTTTCTTTTTTCTTCTTTTGACTGTGTCAAAATAAGTAGAGATACCCGGTGGAATGATTGTAAGTCTTCCTTGATTTCAAAATTTTCTTAGCAGAGAGACCAAATACAGAGGAATATTCACGTTTAAGTACCTGTAATAGAGTGTGAATCCCTCCAAGTAAGATGCCCATCCGATGGAAGTCCAGTCAGATTTAATGAATCGAGGATCGAAATTACTTTTAGCCAAAAACGTCTGGGGTCCATACGCTTTCAGTTAGTTTTCCCATGCGCAGAAAACATTCATGAAAAATTAAGCCTAACTTTGCAAATTGCAGTAAGGAGGTTAGTTTGTTCATAAGACGCATTAATGATTTTCGATCCGGCTTTGAACGTGAATACCATCGAGAGAGATGTCGTCCGGCCACCTTCACCTTCAATATCCATTTCATCGTGCGTCTTGATAATAATTAGAGAGAAAAATATTACTGTGCTTATTTACAGTCACGGAAGGCGCTGGCTCCTCAGGAACGAGTTGCAGACAGTAGCCGTACATAGTCTGAAGTTAATAGGCTTCGCGTCGAAAGTGTATAATTTTAATCGCGTATTTAGTTTATTAACTGTATTATGAGCTCCCTATATCTCCGCCAGCCTGCTCCAAAAGCTGCAGATCGGGGAAAAAGAGTTCACTTACCAAAACAACCCGCCAGCTATTTTGACAACTAAAATTTTAGTAACAAAGAGAGCAAATTAGCAAACAAACTTTCGCTAAAAAAGGTTCGTTATCAATTGATAGAATATTGAATTATCGAGTAACGAATTGAAGGAACCGGGATTTTCTTTTGGTATTGACAAGCCTTCACCCAGAAGAGTGACATTGTATCCTTCATAACTGAAAAAAATATAAAATATTCGTCGGCTGCGCGTTCTATGACGCGAGACACATTAAGAATGGATTAAGTCCGATACCTTTCGTTAGATTGAGCGAGTTTATGATTTCCAAAGAGCTTTCCATTCCCGGCTGAAACGAGGTTAATTATTACAAGACGGATTTTTAGAGTTCTTACTGGAACTGGCGTGCCATAGTAGTAAGGGAGCAGGTTTTCAATTCCTAATGTTTATGCTAACGGCTACAGATAATGGCAATTTCAAGGTCTATCTTTGAATTATAGATCTTCTTGGAATAATCTTTTAATAAGCACTGCCTATGGAAGTCTTAATGTCTGAGAATACGACAAATGAGCTTCTGTTTGGCAATGCAAATGTTGCCAATACGGTCCAAATTTCTGCAATTACCTGAGTAGTACATGTCCAAGGCCTGCTTCGAATGCATCGAATTAAGACAAATGGTAACCAGATCGGAGATCGCGAATAAATCCGATTTGATCGGGCACCAATTAGACAAAAATACATGCATTTTCGCAATCTCGCCTTTGGAAATTCTGCGATGATCGGCTAAATATGCGTGTTAGTCAGACGCCAGACTGATTCCATATCATGTAATATGCATGTTATAAAAACGGCTGAATTTGAATTATTCTTTTCAGAAGCAACCCTAGGTTATTGCACGTAAGAATGATTTTTGTACCTCCGCTGGCTTGATAATCGAAGGATACTTGAAGTACCTAGTCCCATTTCGGAAACACATGTAAAATGAGTATGAGAGGCCGAGAATAAAAACCACAGACCAAAATGCTCGTCGGTAACCATTGATTTCATTACTTAATTTAGAGGTTTATAAATCTTTAGAATATTTTTCAGAATAAAAAAAATCGCTGAGTTTCGCCTGTTCTTCCTACCTAATCACATAAGTTAGACCATGAGGACCTACGTGCTCAGCAAACTTAGAAAAACTTTTTCTCGACTTTTGACCTAAAACATGGCACTGCTGCTTATTTCTGCCTTTTTTCATGCTCATTTCAGACCTTTTGAAATTGTTCCCTGCTTATATGCGAGCTTTGTCAATTAAGTTTTTAAATGAAAAAGAAATAACGGCTTTATTTTCTACCCAGGTGATTTGCTTGATGACGGTGAATTTTTTTGAGCTTTCTCCAAGTTTTATTTCCAAGTTGTAAATATGGAGAAAAAAACGTAGCGACGAAATCAATCGCAAATCACTTCTTACGTAGAATTATTAATAGCATCCCGTGCGTGCGCTGGATACAATCGATTCTGGCCCCAACCCTAGACTCCAACAATAACGACTTGCTCCAACTTTATGTTTAGTTTTTTCTCCCGACCTGAGAAGAGTTCAATGAAACTTTGAGCAGATGAGAATGAATGAATTATCTCCAGCGGAAATTTATGCGAAGATTGGTCTAAGAGCGGTAAGATATTCACTTGACTACTAAATATCGACTTTATTAAATAGTTTTTAGCGATTCTCACTGATAAGTTCTCCCTTTTTTTCGCTCATATTTTCGGACAGAAGACTGAGTTAGTAAATACAGTGGCCGTGTTGTCAATAAATAATTGAGTTTATTGCTCAAGTTCGATTTATTCAGCCACCTCTCCCTTGGCACTTGCAAATCGAGTACTCTCGGTCAACGAAATCGAAATACTCCTTCGAAGAGTTCAACTCCCAGCAGCACAAAACGAGGCTTCAAACTTTCCAGGTGATTATTTTTTAATCTTCTGACAAATGAGAATATTATTCATTTAAAAAGCAATCTTTCCTTTTGGAGAAAAGCCACAGAATCAAATTATACAGAATATTATCTTCGGTTATCCGACTTTTGTTATATATAATTCAGCGACGAACTGGTGTCGTCCATGATGCATCGGCGGTGAAATCGCAAGTTAAACATGTGCGACGAACTCGGAGTGCGGATAAATCCAGGTCAAGGCAAAATGGAGAAGTTGAGGAAGAAGATGAGTCGGATTTTGTGGACTCCTGGCGTTTTAACACTGCTCAAAAGGGTAAGAACAGTAGTAACACTTTGATAATTCATCAACATGCGATTTGAAATAAGTCATTTCAAGTAACTTTTGTGTCATATAGAAATCGGCGAAGAAGAAGAAAGGCTTTTCTTATTGCAACGAGCGGAAATCGAGTTCTTAGAGTACAGAAAGTGCCAAAGCCTAACCGCTTCTCCAGCTCATACCCGTAAGTGAGTTTTTACAAAAATCCGATATTCACTCTCGTAGATAATGGCTTAGAATGCTCGACGCCGAGAAATAACTCAATAGGAACCGAAACGGTTCAGAAACCGAAGAAACGTGGCCCACTGAACTTTCGTCCATTCAAAAAAAGCGTTCGAAAGCAGCAGCTTTGTTGAAATTTTTGTACATTTGAAGATACAGAATTGTCTGTAATTAATAAAAAAAACCTGACAAAATATGAACTTCTTTCAAAATTCTCTGAATTTCTTGACTATTCTACTGAATACAGGATCAGGGAGTAGAAAGTTCAATTTGTATGTTCATCTTAAATGTCAGAACCGTCACTGCCAACCGTAAAAATTGCTAAAGTCGTACACAAAGAGGTACTTTTATATTGCGGAAATAGTAATAAATTTGATAGATTCCGAACCTTAATTTTGCCGCTGTCTGAGGTAAGCCCGAAGATCAGATTGATTTACTTTTTATGAAAAAAGTATTTAAACATTTTTCTTAACAGTCAAATATTTTTGGACTTGTGCGAGTTCTTATGAAGATAGAGAGCTGAAATTCGTTAAATACAATAGAAGAAGATGAATGCAAAAGTTGTCCAGTTTAAGAATTATGTTTCTAAAAAAATATCGATCCTCTTTTATGGCTTGATATGTTGCTTCATGCTTTATCAAGTGATGAAAACGGACAGTTGCAGCTCTTTCTTAAAGAGACCACTTCCCGTCCGTCAAGCAATATCGAGAGATTTTAGAAGTGGTGAAAAGAGAAAAGTTGTTTTGGTAGGCTTCTATTGCCCGCAATGAGCGAAAATGTCTTTTTAGATTGTCACATTTATGCGATCAGGATCAACCTTTCTTGGAGAGCTTTTCAACAACCACGACGATGCGTTTTATATTTTCGAGCCACTTCATGCTTTTTCCACTTCTGGTTTCTCTCCAGACTCCGTGAATGAACGATTAGAACTCCTAACCGACAATCTGAACTGCAAATTTAAAGATCTTTACGACATAACGATTCCTTGGAAAGAATATTCAGCTGATTTCGACATGCAGCAAAAGTTGGATCATCAAGGAAACTTCATTTTTCGGCCAAAGCATCGTCGATTTTGCGCGCCGCCGTTTTGCGTGAGAGATGTTTCCAACAATTTGGATCAATGCAACAGCGTCTGTGGTCTTGTGGATCTGAATCTTGCTTCCCGGATCTGTAACAACTTGACTCCTGTGATCAAGATCATCAGATTTGCAGAGATTGAGCACTTCAAACTAATGGCGGAAGAAAATAACTTGGATCTGAAGGAAAGAATCGAAAGATTAATTGCTTTAGGCAGCTTGGCGAGTCCAATATTGTCATTATAAAAATCAGACTGCCTTTTACGACGTCCCTTTTTTATATTTTCACACTTGCACTTGCCGTGCCGATTCTAAAAAAGCTCATTTTCCTATCCCGAGATCCCCGCGGAATTTACGCAAGTCGGTCTAATATTTACAACCAGCGAACATATCAATCTGAAGAGTTGAAGAAGAAAGACAAGAGGATCTTGTTCGACGTTTGCCGACATACAAAGAATATCCTCCGCGAAATCAACAATTCAAAATGGCTGAAAGACCGGAGCTTAGTCGTTAGATATGAAGATTTAGCGATGAAACCGAATATCAGAAGCAGGGAAATTCTTGAGTTTGCTGGTTTTGAGCAGACGGAAAAGATTTCAAAGTGGATTTATAGAAATACGCTTGGTCAGAGCAATTCAGGAATCATTAGCAATTTTTAGTTTAGAGTCGATAACTTTCGTAATTTTTCCCTTTGTTGATGATAAACAGGTACATTTGATACAAGCCGGGATTCACGAAAAACTGCTTTTGCTTGGCGTTCAAATTTGGAAGAAGATGAAATTCGCGAAGTCGAAGTTGAATGCCGCGAAAATATGGAAATTTTGGGCTACAATAGATTCCGAAAAAATATTTCTGAAATTGATATACTTTCGAAAATGCGACTTTAGAATAAATTTTTATAATTTATAAAAAAAGGCCATTTGATATGCAAATTGATATTGATGCGCACGTCTTTCCCGCTGGATTGAATGCTGAGAGCGATTTGTTTTCAATCACCGGCATGCAAATTGTGCTGAGAATTGTGAAGTGAAGCCTCGCAATCAGCTTGAGTTGAAGATGCAAAAGGTTATTTTCTGCTTGTTGTGTGCGTTTTATTAGTTTAGAAAGAGGGGCAGTGATAAACGAGCGGACGTATAATTGAATATTTTATTAGCAGTTTGACTTTTTCTAGCTTTTCTGGCGACTTTGAATGGGATGCAGACAGATTTAACTGAGAGCTAGCATGCAATAAGATTAAACAATGAAGCAAATCGAGGAAAATGGAAAAGAACAAATAAGAGTATTGAGGGTGAGTCTAAAATTTTCGTACTAAAAAGATCATCTAAATTTTCAGGCGGATGTCGAACTTCTTAAACGCGAGAATGAAGAGCTAAAGAAGTCGCTAGAGCTAACTGGAAGTGGAATTTACAGGAGCAGTTCTTAAAAATAAGACAACTTTTCTAAGCTTGTAAAATCCTCATGAATAATAAATAGAAACAATAAGCCGATAAATAACATTTTGAAAAGTGGGAAGAACTCATCGAAAGGGCAATAGATAATTTGACTCAATTCATCAATGAGATTCAGCAGAGCCAGGTAGCCATGTAGCGCAATTTTAGACCGAGAAGAATTTCAATTATCTCCGCTGTCAGCAAATTTTGAAATTTTCGTCCAAAATGAAGTTTTGGAGACTAATACCTTTTTACAAGCAAAAGCAAGAGAAGAGACTGCAAGAGTTGGAGAAGCCAGGAAAGCCTTCGTCGCCAGAGAAGAAATTAAAAGCAAGGTCACAGACGGTTGATGTTGAGCCCGCATATAATGGTATGCTTTTTTTCCATTTTTTTGTTTTAAAATAATTTTTCCAAGAAGCATGCGTAGACGAATCCCAACCTGCGACGGATCAACTGCCAGCAGTCACGAAAATTGAAAGCGGATCAGCTGACTCTTCTACTCTGAAAAAAGAGGCTCCATCAACAGAAGGTCAGAGGCGTTAATTTGAATTGGGAAGGGATAAATTGTGTCTCATTATAGAGGAAACTACAGCGGGTGACTCGACGGGAGATCCGAAGCCGTCTCCTTCCACCATCAGAAGAGAGGAGAAACGAAAACGAGAGAACCGCAAAGTAAGCAGTTACAACACAGCACAAATCAAATCCGTAGAATCGCGCACTAGAATCGTATATGTAGAGTTTTATGCATTTAAATAGGCAACGGTGTCATATCTGTCGCCCGAGGATGTTGTAACAGCCCTTAAACCAGCTAAGGAAAGGCGAAAAATGAGACTTCAGAGCTTCAGAAAAGCGCTGGAAAACATAGACGATGCGGCAAGATCAACTTTTGGTGGAAAGAAGAAGGTAATTTTGACCGTTGATCATAAAGTGTTACTTTCCTTAGAATAAGCCAACAATCGAAGAAATAGAGGCCAAAATAAAAGATGTTGAGAAGAAAATCACAGGAGAAGAACCAACTGCTGATAAAAATCAAGCTGAAATCAAGGAAGAATGCAAAGAGAACACGTCAGTGGAAGCAGAAAAACCAAAGAATGACGGAAAATTCGAACGAATAAAAGCGAGAGATACCGGCTTCGTCCCAGAGAAAGAAACAACCGAGCCTGAAAAATTCTTCCCGAGAGTTGGTAGTCTTCGCTCGCTGAAAAGGCGAGAAGAGATTATTGAGAAACTAAGGAAAAAGAAAGAAGCCGAGGCGGAAGAAGAGCGAAGACGATCAGCCCCAGCCCAAATTAGTAGTCCTATTCTGAGAACAGCCCCGGAGAATACTCCAGCAAATCTTGCTGACAAATCAGAAGAAAAGCCAGGTAGTGCTCAAGTAATAATAATCGAAATTATTAATTGTTTTAGTTACAAAGCCGCGGAGTCCTCGGCCGCAAGTGCCTCCTCCTGAAAAACCAGCTGAATTGGCAGTTGCTTCTCCTTTGCCAAGTCCACCGCTCCCACCCGAGAAAAAATCAATCGACACTATTCAGGGCCGAGTTCAATGCTTACCATCACGTGGTTAATTTTCTCTCAGAATTCGAGACTTACTGCAAGCAAGAATTTAGAGCATATTTGTGAACGCTACGTTCTTGCTAAAAAGACACAAAAACAATCAAAAATGAACTTTTTAAAGGAAGAACCTGAAGAAATTGAAATCGCTCCAGTTCCTAAAGCTCGAGCTTCCGCACCAGTAATTCTATCAAGAGAATCGGCAGCAACTAAAACGAAGGATAAAGAGAAAGAAGAAAAGCAAGATGCAAAAGAAAGTGAACAAGAGAGACCAGAAGACATCCACGTAGGATTGACTCGACATGACTACAAGACCTTGTCAAACACGCCGAAGATGAAAGAATTCGAAGTAAGCGAAAAGCCGAGTAAGATCATCAAACCGCATGATTACGAAATGCCAGTTGCGGAAGTGGCCAAAGGTAAAATAATTTCGCAACTATTTTCAAAACATATTTAGCAGCTCGAACACCACCGTCTCCAACAAAAACTTCAAGCAATAACTCTCCATATTCCGTCAAAGTTTTGCCCAAGAAAAGGATTGGTAGAATTTCCGCGTTTGACAGTATTGAAGAAGAACCGAAGAGTGAGCCCCTCCCACCAAAACCTCCACGAGTAATATTTTCTCGAATAAATAGACAAAGTAACTCACCGTTTCAGACCCCAGAGCCAAAAATAATCATCGAAGATGACGAGCTTCCTGAAGCTTTTCGACGACCTGTTTTACGAGCATCCAAGAACAAATCCAAACCACCAAGGCCAATGTCAGAATCAGTCGATTACAATCCAGACCTGGTGGAAAAGCTGGAAGGACCTGCCCTCCAACGAGTTCTGTCACTCGGTCCTGGGGAACGATTTAAACGATCGAGTATTCGGTAAGTCCATTCGACTCTATCGGTTATTCTCGGGAACATAAATATTAACAGATTTTGAAATGAGAATCTGTCTGTTGTATGTATTTGGATAAATAGAAACAATCCAAGGGTCGATCGCGTGATCACAAGTAGATCCCGTTATGTATTTTCGTTGCTCCATTCTCTTGAAAACAAAAACAGTTATTCAACAGTAAGACAACCGTTGATTTTTGGGCACATGCTGTTTAAGAACTGTTCTGGCAAAACTTAGTTAGAACAAATTTTGTTTGATTAGTCTTAAATTTATTAAAATTGGCTAAAATATCTTAATTCAGGCGTAAGAAATTCTTCATGGGCGAGACGTAGAAGACGAAGTCGCAGCATTTTTAAAGTTCTAATCCTCACCTCTGTCCATAAATCTAACGAAGCCAATAAAAGCAGCCTAATCTGGCAGAGATTGTTTACTAGTCTTGTAGTCAAATGAACACGAGATTGGATGTTGTGACCCTCTTTTACTCCCAAAAAGATTATTGTCACTAGGGTATGCAAAAGGAACTAGTTTTCAATAGAAAGGTCTTATATTTAGATCCCTAAAGTAGTAGAACACTGCAATTTTAGATACTTAGCTGGATAGTAAAGCAATTCCGAATTTAAAAATAGGAAGCGTCCTTATAAATAAAAACATCGACTTAGCATTCTGGTGAAAGTTCAAAAGTTTATACATACTTTGGTCAACCCTAAAAGTACAGTGACTGGAGGACTCCTAGGTCCTCCTCGTAGCGTCGAGGAAGAGCTTTTTTCGTCTGGCGCTGGACTTGCGTGACCAGGGGCAGAAGTGCCTCGCCCGAGCAAGGGACACAACACTGTTGATGGGGTGGACGTCTCCGTTTGTTTAGTCGAGGAGTCCAGTTAGTTAATCGTGTACTCGTTTGGCGAGGCGCCCGACCACGATTTCTATTGGCCTCCGAGCCCTCTACCACCAGGTTCAAAGTTTACATTTCCCTTCATTACCGTCCCCGCTCAGCTAGAAGAACCTCACAACAGAAAAGCTACCATGCCAGAATTTACAGACGATCAAGAGATACAACAAAACTTCAACCATGAAGAAGATTCCTTCATTGATTTCGGGTGAGCAGCCCTTAATTATCAAAGTAATAAAAATCTCCGGACACTGCGGAGCATCTTATTTGAAAAGAATTTTTTCTCGCACTTGAATGTTCCATTGAATTAATAATTCTATATCAGGCCTTTCGAAGAAGACCCCGAAACCTTTGAATACAATGAAATCGGAATCGATCAACCAACTAATGTGACGGAAGAATTCGGTATGGAATAACTCAAATTTCAAATTTGGAATTTTTTCAGTTCTCGTTCTATCTGACCTCGCCGGCTCTTCCCCTTCCAACAACGAAATTACAATCCCCATTGAACAGCCAAGACCTCAATCTGTCGGATCATACGAAATCTACCACAATCGGACGGAAAGAACTCACCAAGTTATCCGCCCAAGATCATCAACCATCAACGAATTTTCGCCTTATCCCTCGGTCAATGACAACAGCTCCAGGTTTGTGAGGTGCATTTTTTTTTGCCTATTACAAAATTCAGAAAACAACGAAGAGGAGGAAATCAGTCCCCCGGAGTTTATAATGGTCGTAGAATGACATACGCAGAACTGATTGTCGAAGCAATCAAATCTTCAAAGGATTCTAGGATGACACTTCGTCAGATTTACCACTGGATGAGCCGGTAAGAAACAGCTACAAAATGACCTAAATATGTTTCCATCCCGATGAAAGCCGGTTATCGTTATTTACAGAATCTCACTTCGAGGGGATTTTTCAAGTTGTCTTTTTTTCTCAAAGAGTTTGACAAATATCAATAAAGCAGGTTTGTCCTGCTACAGCGGGATAAACATTGATTCGATGCAAGTACTTTTCCCTTGTCGGGAGGTAGTTTGCGAACTTTGATGCAAAGTAAACGAGCTAAAACTCATTGAAACTTTTAATTTGAAAGCATAGGGAGGTGATTGAAGTACAGTATCGATAGTACAGTATTTTCCCCCAATAGTATGGAAGTAAATATGATCACTGATAGACAAGCCAAACAGGCGGGCGGTACGGTAATCCTCTAAATGCAAATATTGACTTGACCAATGAACTTTCTTTTTCTAAACAAGTTTCAGAAATGTCCGAGAATTCGGTCCTAACGGTGGTCCGGGCTGTCCCAGTACTAACTCGTGGAAAAACTCCATCCGTCACAATCTATCACTTCACGAAATGTTCAAGGTGAGACTTTGACCGAGCCGGGCGCTACACCCAGTGTGAAGATAGTCCGATTGGAAGTTCTAACTCAAAATTAAGCGCGTTCCGAACCACACTCGAGGAGAAAGTGCTTTCTGGGTTATTGATACGACTCCATCAAACAATAACGATATTTATTATAAACAAGATAATAACCAAACATGTACGAAAAACATTATTTCTATAAGAGTCTCATAAACGGTTTTCTAGGGCCTCATGTTCGACCAGAACTCTTTCGACCCTCTCTTACCTGCCCTCCAAATGTACGACTTGAAGCAAACTATCAAGTTCCAAACTTCGACAAAATCCGACAATCCGCAACAAACTCGTTCTGCCAAGATTTGATCATTTGCGAAAAATTCCCTGAGCTTGCTCGAATCATCTTTCCAAAGAGTAAGCTTCAACTTGATAGCCCAAACTTACTTTTACATCATTAGAAGAGCCAAAAGTCGAACCAATTATTCGCCTCCCTTCGATCTCTTTGGACAATATTCCAGATAGCCACAGTGATAACGAGCTCTTTTCCGCAATGTTCTCAAAACCACCTTCTGAAAATGATTTTTCATCCTGCGCCAGTCCTTCTAACTCAGGTATTCATATCAATTTTCGTGCAAAAGCTAAACTTTTCTGCAGAAATCTTTGATAGTCCCCATCCCTCCCCTTCCACTGCTGACGAAGGTTTCGATAGCATTTCAACCTTGGATAACTTTGAGCTCGACGACATTTGCATGGAGAGCGATGTCAATACAATTTTCAACATGTAAAGAGAGATGTTTCTTTCAACAAATGCAATTAAAACAACTTGTTCATTCTAATGTCTTAAGTCTGAAAGATTTAATAAATATACTTGTGAATAATTTTATGTTTTGTTCTTCTGTTTATTTCTTATAATTATTTTGTTCTTCTGCTTTTCGTTATTCTCATTCTTTGATCTTCCCAAGCTAAAGAGTCCCCAGAGAATATCTCTTGAAAAAATAATGCCTGATTTTGACCCTTTATCACTCATTTTGAATTTTTATTCAACGATTACAGCGTATTATTCTTTCATTGAAAGAGTGACAGGAAATGATTTTGACGTCTCTGTAAATAAATGATTTTTAATAAATTTACTTCGATATTTCGAGGGCTGAAATCATGATTATTGAATTTGAAAACACCAATTTGGTGGATTAAACTCGAGGTTACCGAAATCATAATAGACGTACCTCTCTATAAAAATAGATGTTTTGTACTAAGTCAATTATCTCCATAAAACCCTCCGTGAGAACATCTCTAAAACTAACAAGTTGTCAACTAAAATCACATTCAATCAGGATATAAACTGGAGATGCTAGAATTTGGAACTCTAAGAATTAACAAAGATTTTGACGAAAATTTTCTTGAGATGAAAATTTTCCGAGTTTTTGCCGCTTTTGCTCTTGCTGATGCTGCTGCTATGGGAGGCGCCATGGGCATGGGCTCAAGAAATAATGCTAAATTTTTGACATATCGGGTAGAATATTCTTTGAGCCAGTAAAAGATCCTAACCCAGAGCCGGGAGCAGTTACCTTGGAGCCGACTGAGCCGCCAACTATGCCACTCACTTCAACTCCAGCTCCAACCACCACTACAACTCCTACTACCACAACCACAACCACCACCACTACTCCAACAACAACAACCACTACCACTCCAACTACTACGACCACGACTACTCCAACAACTACAACCACTACTCCAACCACTACCACCACTACCACAACGACTACAACCACTACAACAACAACACGGGCTCCAACCACGACCCAAGCGCCATCATCTGGTGCTGGCACGATTGAAATGACTCTTCCTCTGATCGCCGTCGCCGCTTTCCTCCGCGTCTAAAGAAACACTCCATAAAAGCAAACAAATCATGTCCGCAAATCATAACTGAATCCTTCCTTTTCATTCTTTATTCTCCTTCAATAAAATTCGATGCATCCATCCTTGTCTAAGAATAGCAAACGTTGACGATAAAAGAATATGGCCCAATCAATCACGTGGCTAATTACACAAACAAATATAACGTCGAACTTCACATTCTCTTTATATTTATAAAAAGATAGAGAAAAATTCACAATGAAGATTCCTGGTCTGATACTATGGGGAGGATTACAAAACATCAGTGATTTTTATAGAAAAAAAAGTTTGTAATCATTCGAGCCTCTCATCAAAGCAAAATCGAAAAACTTTACTGATATCGAGGAATTAGCGATGTCAGTGGAAGTTCAGCTTGATGGAATTTACAGTAATGCATTAGAGCTGTCGAAAAAAGACGCTTTTATTGAAGATCAACTCGAGTTTATAGAAGAGGCACTTCTTGACGTGGAAGCTAATGGTAGTGGGAAAGGGCCCATATTATATCTATGTTAATTCGAAATCAAATGTATAGGTTCACTGAAGAGATCAGCTTGAGTTTGATAAGATCGAAACGGATCTGGGGCTGCTCAACGAAAAAGAAACTGCAATCAAGGAAGAGATCGAAAATCTCCGCGCAGAAGTGCAATCCGAAAATGAAGTATACAACTCACTCGAAATGCAGCTGAACTCTGTTAATGATACATTGAATGATGTTCTTGAAGAAGTCGGCGAGAGAAGATCTGACTTTCGTAAACTGAAAGTTGGCATCTATGAAGATCAGGCGAAGACACGAGATAGCCTAGAATCATTCAACGCGACGCTTACCTATTTGGGTGAAGAAACAGAAGCTCTTGAAGAAGACTTTGCTAATTCAAAAAGAGAGATGCTTTTGCAAGAGACTCGAATGGAAAAAATTATTGATGAAAAGTATGACGATTTCACCGAGAAATTCAGAGAAATTGACGAGAAAATAGCGACACTGCAAAACTCAAGCGAGCAAAACTCGCAAAACGATCAAAACTTTCAAATTCAAAGCCAATTACTGAAGATTTTAAATCGCTTGGAGATCGTAGAGTCGTCAAAACTCATAACTGAAGAGAGAATGAAACGTATGGAAGAAAACTTTCAAAAAGAGAAGGCGGATCTTCTCGAGATGGTAGAAAAGGCAGAAGAAAAGAGTAGACGAGCAGCTAGAAGTGTGGAAAAAGTTCAACAAGAGCTTGAGCAACTTAAACAAGCGATAGAGAAGGAAGACACATCTGGCAATAATAATGTTGAAGATAAGGAGAAAAAGTGCAAGCTGACGTGTAAAGAATATGATAATGGATTTAAAATATTAAGCAAAAGAGGCATAAAAGATATATTTAAAATCCATTTATAATCAGTTCAAATTCCCAAATTGAAGAAAAGGAGTGTTTCGTGGAATGCACGACGAAAGACGAGCGCTTAAAATCCGAGTTGTCTTGTGACTCGATTTCCGACTCATTCTGTCTACGAGACGAGCACTGTGGGGACTGTGGAACGTGCTTAGCAAATGTATGTTCGATGAGAACGAATATTAAAACGAATTTGATCATCATTGGTGGCAACCATTATGAGTTTACTTTCGATAAACTTGACCTCAATACTATGAAAACTGCACATATTTACGGGCAAGTCTTCTCAATATTAGACTAAAGTTTTCATTATTCACTCTCAAATCTTCAGGAGAGATCAGCCGCTGAATGGACATAGTCGAAGCGATCCATTAATACACTTCTGCAGTGTACTTGTAAAAGACAACATGTTTATTATTGGCGGACATCTGATTCGTGAAATAAGAAGCGGGGAACAAGAAATGAGAAGGCATAGCATTCGAGATGTTGCTCCTCATCTTCGAGTAAGCCTGTTCAAGTTTGACTTTCAATGAGCTATTATTTCAGAGACATTCGTGTTCGGCAGTTGCAAATGATTTCATTATAGACAGGGTTGAAATTATTTTTTGTTGGTATTTTTAGTTTATACATTTATGTATTCATTCATGTAATTGGGTTTGATTTTATAAAGAATGTCTGGAAGTAAATCGACAAAACTGGAATATAATGTTTATAGAAAATATCAACCCAACACTGCGTGTTGTCCACAATCTCGACAATATAGTTCCATAAGAAAATGCTGGAAAATAATTCCTGGGTCTGATCATCCAAGGACATTTACGTGGGACTCCACCTCTCACGGGCATTATTCTGCCGCCATGGTTTCGTTAGTTGATGAACAAAATCCATCCTTGCGTCAGTTAATGGTCAATAAGAAATTCAAATTAGAAAATTAAAATTAGAAAATTATATTGATGACCTGGAAAAGCCTCTCGTTATAGCCGGAGGGTTGAAACCAAGAACTAACAAGGTTGAAATAAATCACCACGATGGAGCAGGCTGGCGAGCAATGAACTCTTTACCTAAAGCATCTTCTTCTCTAGCTATGACTTGGCCACGGAGTTTAATTTTATTTTATTTTCAATTAAGAAAATTAGTTATCATGGCCGAGTAGAGCAAAAATACTCTCTACGTCTCTGGCGGATATACCGAAAGTCCCAAATCATCGTCATCTAAGGTCTACAAACTTGAATTCGAAAATAATAAACCGATTGGAAATTGGCTTGAAGCTGGCAGTATGAAACGTGAGTTTTGCAGAAATCATCATCATTCTAACAGAAATTCTTTGGTCATGATGTCAGCTAGACGTCCTGTTCAAATGAAGTGCACTTTGTATTATATTCCTCGGAACATCCCTGGGTCAACGAGAAAACTAGAACAAGTCAAGCTAGAATATGTTGCCAACTCATCATTTTAGTCGCTCGAGACTCTCACGCCATGGTTGCATGGAATGATGGCCTGGTCATTTTCGGAAAATACGAAACCAACAGCGATAGATGGGAGTACTTCAACGAGGATGCTTCTCGATCGGAATTCTTAGATATTCCGCCCGTCGCGAGACTACACTTTTCATATGTTCTTGCTTCTCCTACATTTATTATTTAAAAATATCCATAAAAACTCCCAATAAAATACTTTCTTCGATTCTCATTGAAGTTCATGTAGCAGTAGTGGAAAAACAATTTACCTATTTCAACAAACAAAGTCACTGACCAGTGGTCAGATCATCTGACTTATCAATTTAAGCCTTACTGAAGATTCTGCAAAGAGAGACTAAGAGGAAAATGATTCTTGCATTTTGTTATTTTCTATTATCGGAACGGATTTAAGCTAGCATATTTTACAGTGCAATAGGCGCATAGACTATGCGGCATAGTAAATCCAAACTCGAGATATTTACTGTCAAAGTGGAATCAGATGACTTTAATGACATACAGAATTTGACCGAACTTGCACTCTCAGTTGAAAACCGGTTCGAAGATATTCTTGAAAACGAGCGAGAATTATCGAGGACAGATGAGTCTTTAGAAGAACGATTGGAGATACTAGAAGACTTAGGATTCTCTGAAAATGAAATGGGCAGTGGGGAAGACAGTCTTCCATCCAACGAAGAGGATGACGATTTCAGAGCCGAAATGAGAGTTTTTAAGAATCAGATGATCTCATTCATGCCACTACTTAACAGCCTCTATGAAATGGGAATCATGGAAAAAATGAGAAAATTTGATGAATTAAGAGGAAGCTCAATGGGAGCTCCTGACGTGAGTGATCAAATCGGGAAAGCCGAGAGTCGAATGACCGAGATTCTTCAACAAGAAAAAACCGAACTTCTTGAGGCACTGAAAACTTCAAGCAGACGTGCGAATAAAAAAGTGAAAAATGTTGAAGAAGAAGTTGTCGCGCTCAAGGCAGAATTGAAGCAAAAAGAAAATGTATTTAAAATGGAACTAGATGCTCTTAGAAGAAAGCTCCAGGAAAGAAAGACTTTACGATTCTATGACGATATTTATGGCGATATAATGAATTCTACGATGACTCCTGTTAGTGAAGATGAAGAAACCGAAGATGAACGCGAAGAGAATAAAACAAATTTGATAATTATCGGAGGCGAAGGTCATGCTCACACTTTTGACCAACTTGATCTCAATACGATGAAACTTTCGCATCTATACAAGTAGGCTAGAAATATCAATTCATCTTGAACGTAATAATTTAAGCAAAGATCATAAACTTGCTGGCCAAACATCAAACGTATTGTATTACCACTGCAGCGTTCTTGTGAAAGATAGCGTCTTCATAATTGAAAGAAATTCTATCAGCGAAATAAGAAGTGGCGAGCAAGAAATGAGGACCTTCGACAATGGAATCTCCCTGAATCTGCTTGTAAGTAAAACAATAACATCCTATATTAAAGCATTTAGAAACATTCCTGTGCCGCAGTTGCAAACGAGTTTATTATAGAAAGAGTTCATATTTTATTGTATAGAACGAGCTTTTATCAAATGAGAACTCAGTACTGTTTGCGGCGCGTATTTCAGAAACTCTGTCAGCTTTACGAAAAAATGTTGGAAAATCACTCCTGGCTCGTCTTCTCCAAGCACAAGCGCCTGGGAGACAATGTTGCATGGCCATTCATTAGCGGATATGGTTTCTCTGGTCGACCCAAATGATTCGTCTGCGAGAAAGGTAATGATCGTTTCCTCGAATATCATCAAAACTACAAAATAGCCCGTGGTAATTGCTGGAGGAAACCCAAAAACTGATGCAGTCGAGATCAACCGTTTCGATGGGAGAAGATGGCAGTTGACACGCCTCCTTCCAGACGCTATTTCTTCCCTTGCAATGACTTGGCCATGGATAAATATCATGAAAACCTAATGATCTCTTACTATTTTCATGGCCATTGAGACAAATAATTTCATTTACGTCTCTGGAGGATATGCGGGTGGAAAGTCGTCAACCGCTGTCTTTAAACTACGATTTCAAAATGATGAGCCTGTTGGCGAATGGGTGCTTGCTGGAAATATGAAAAGTACATATAGTATATAGCTAGGGACTTTCACGGAAAAATCAAGGTGCTCCGATAACTATGAAAATTTATCATCTAGTACAGTTTTTTTCGCTGATTCCAAATATGTACTTAATTTTTACATAAATCCACATGGTGGCGCGTGAGAGCGCTTCAAACTTTCGAAGATGGCACCCCTTATACTAGCCTTTCAGGTTATTTATTTCATTCCAAAAATGGTTTGAATAAAGTAATCTTGCCATCAAACCTCTTTCTCGTGATATTTTCTCGAAAGAGCTCACTATTTAAGCCTTTAATAAGCCTGAAAAGCTCTCAGAACAAGCATTTATTTTTAGCGCTGTCTCACAGCGAGGCGCGCTAATCTTAATCAATTCACTGAGCGGAAATAAGAATAAATAGTTTATTTTGATCAGTATTAGGCAGTAAAAACAGCTGTTATCATTAAATCAAAATGCTCAAGAACTTGCAGCAAGAAATCGAACCACTCATTTTGTCACCTTCCACCGAAAGGTTCGGCCCTCGCTGCGGGCGATGCTGCTCCAGGCCCTTCGCGCGGTGCCCCGCGTCGCGCGAGTTGCGACATGCCTCTAGTTATCTGAAGATTTCAAGCGGCTAGTACGCCCAAGTAAAAATATTTTTTTCAGAGATTCAAGGGAAGTGTCTGATAGAGAATATATCGAAAAAAGAGTGACCTGGCAAGGCATGGTCTATATAATTCACCTCTTTGAAAGATAAATTTCGTGTTTTTCATAATATTCAATATTTTTTTGCCAATTTTTCAATCATATTTGGAATCAGCAGGTAAGAAAACATATGTTGTCTGAAAAAACAAGAAAAATCGATGACTATTTAGGGTAGTTGGGAAAGCAAAAATTGGGCCCTCGCGCTCCCGTGATAGTCCCTATATATAGCATATGCTGTTTAGCTGAATAAGTTTTATAAAAAAATAGTTGCTAGAGACACCCACTCGATGATCCCTTGGAATGATGGTCTTCTGATATTCGGAAAATTTGAGACTGAAGATAAATGGGAGTATTTCAACGAAGATGCGACTCTTTCATATATTCTTGAACTTGAACCTCTCGCAAGAAAAGCGTTTTCTTGTGTCAAATTACCAACTTCTTTCATTCTCTAAAAATAAAGATATCATGAAAAATAACAGGGAAATATTATTGTCAATAATTTATTGAAAGAATTTAGACTCAGAATTTCAGAGTTAAACATACCACAACTGACCTGAAGTATTTATTAGTAAATACTTTCGAATTACTTTAACCACAAAATGGCACCCTACGAATGCAAATCCAGGTGTCTCAGGTGCAAGTTGGCGGTGCTGAGCACGTTAAATAACAAACTCAGCAGTTTACAACAGCCTCGAGCGCTTTCTCCATCGGTATAAAACGTGAGTGGAGATACCATTTTCATAAAGAATATTGAAAAAGAGAGAAAATGGCAGCTGCTTGTCCGAACAACGCCTGGACTATCGCTGCTGATGGTTGCCTGCCAGCAGACATCGCAATCACCTGTGGAAGCTCTCAAGTGACAGTCAGCGTTCTCGTCGATCATCTTTACGAGAATCTCCCCGAAGACTATCACGACAACGCCCGAATCGAATTCGGGGACTGCACTGGCAGCAACAGACCAGATGCCAACAACACCATCTCAGAAACCTTCGACCTCAACGCCTGTGGAGGAAGATTTACTCAAGATGAAGACATCTTCGTTGCCTTTTACGTCAAAGGCGTTGACTCAGCAGCTTCGACAGAGGTGCAAGGAACAGACATTGTTCTTACGCCTGTTTTATCGTTCGAAGTTGAGTGCGAGTACAGCTCCACAACAACTCTCGAATCGGTCAATTTCGACGTTGATACTCCTGATGTCGACTACGGCAACGTCACCGGAACCGTCGGAAATGTAAGTTGATATGTTTATAGGCTTTTTTCAATTCGTTTTTAGTTCAATGATAAGTTCTTAATGGACTGGTTCTCCGATTCTGCACTTGAAAATAAAGAAGAAGTCTCGCTCGGTGACGAGGTTTACATTCGAACCACCTCTAGCCTCGAAGCGAGCCACAACTACCGACTTACATCTTGTACCGCCAGTCAAGGCGACAAAACGATTGAGATTCTTTCGGTATAATTAACAACTCAAATCTTATTCTAAATTTGTTAAGCAATGTGACGAGGGCATCAAGGCTGGAGCGATGGCCATCCTTGGTATCGGCGAAGTCTCTCCTGCCACTGCAGAGAACAGTGGAATTTATAGCTTCGGCTTCAAGTCCTTCACCTTGGCTGATGAAGCTAGTTCGCTTGATATTGAATGCAACTTGTCGATTTGTCTCCTTGATGATTCTGGGGCTCAATTAGACGCCGACTGTGGGCAATGCTAAACTTATTCACTGTACTTCTTATTTTCATTCTGTTCAACCGAATCGAATAAAATTCAGTAAAAAATATTTCCACGAAAAACATCGAAAAACTATTGAAAATGAGACGACTTAAAAATCATTTTTGCCAATCACCTTGACAGAAATTTCATCAAGAGTATATCTAGTGAAATTAATTAGTATTCGCTCACTCAGCTTTGATGGGGGAGGATTTACGGCTGTCTTCAAGGTGTTTGCTTCACTGCTGTCAAAGATGGTCACAATAAATCTGAGTTTGCTACTGGTGCCAACGACGTGCGATTCTAGTGTTGGAACTGCCATTCAACATCAGAAAAATCTCACTTTTGAGACCACTATTTCACCTTATTCACAAAATGCTAAGTTCAAGAGACAAGGAGCGAAAAAATAACAGAGACCGAAGGAAGAAAAATGAAAACAAAAAGGAAGAGACAAGTTTTTCAAAGAAAATCAGCGATCTTGCAGAGTCAGCGATGAAATTCTTCTCAAAGAAAAAGGCTTGGTCAAAAATATTTACAGAAATGTCAAGTGAAAATTTTGACTCAAAACTCTTTGGAGCGGAGCTCATGCAAAGCTCCTTATCTCCGTTTACTGTAAACGGTTTACACTTGAGAATCGGACGTGAAAACGACCCCGTAATTACCGCTTCGGTGGCACTGGAAATTGTCTACCTTTGACGTTTTTAGGCACGTCATATTTTTTGACCATTCTAGAGCCAAAAAATCTGGCAATTACAGAACAACGCGTTCCTGAGCGTAAGTTCTCACTCAAACGCGTCAATTCACTAGCAAAAGCGCGTCAATCAATATGCGATCAGTTTCAGGAACAGTTTAATCAAATCTTTCACCACATCGTGTGAAATTACAGAGACGTCATTTGGTAGATCCCGAGGCCAAACAAGTCTCACAAATGATTTTCATTTGAGGTGACCGTTTCTTTATTTTTGAAAATTCTCAAAAAAAAACTGTCCAAAGGCAATAAGAACCGCACAGACAATCGGAAGAATTCAGCGAAACGGTATGAGAAAATTCCTCTCAGTTATATTTTCAACAATTCCAAGTCGCCCAAAACAGACCTGTTCATTTCAAACCACAGCGATCAAGTACAGTTCCTTCTCCGGTAATTTAAGCATATGACACGCTCAAATAACGCATTTTCAAAGAATCTCGCAAGCTCAAAACAAGCCTCAGAAGACGTGCCAATTCATGCTCGTCTGCGAGTGAAAACGCGAGGAAATGCTAGTTGCCGCAGTCACGCCAGTCCGAGACCAATGACTCCGCTAAAAAGACAAAACGCCATCTTCGACGAGCCCCGAATGTCCGAATCGCCGAGGTAAAATGATTTCCAAACAATCTAAATTCGAGTTTTCACCAGTCCTGGCTCACGCGCTGTGCGATCATTGACTCTGCAATAAACACCTTCTCCCTAATGCGTTACTTTCTCTTCTGAATACTGCCGCCCCATCAACTTCTAAAAGTCGATTTACATTCGCACATTAGCGCATCTAGCAAATTCAAAGGAGGCGTTGAGTGAAGGATCAGGAACACTAAAACATTCCCCACATTCTGACGCAAATTTTACAAATCAATTTTATTTAGTTTTAAAATAAGTAAGATGAGACCGTTAACCATGAATTCTAACATTTCTCAGCTGAGGACGATCGTCTCATAGTTGCCGACATCCTTTTTCGTCTTCTCCTTTTCTTTTGTTGAGAAATTTGAATCTGCTTGAATACCCATGTTTCTCGGAAATTGCTTCTTTTTTCGGTCTCTTCAGATTTCTCCGGTCTCATCAATTCTTTAGGATACACCTTGCTCGCCTCTGAATGATGGATGAAAATAAGGAAGGGAATCTGACAAACCTAACACAGGATAAAGCTTGTCTGGCAGACTACAAAAGAGTCGGTATGATTCGTAGGAGCTGTCTTCTTCCAAATCTGAAGAAAAGCCATCTGGGGTTTCATATCTTAAATTGTCGATGATCGTCTGTTTTTGTTCTGCTGAAATGCCGAGTAGTTCCTTTCCACTCAATTCGGAAACTTCTTCCAATAGCGGATCTTCTTCAAGTCTAAATAATTTCGGTCTAAAATCACTGGTGCCTTGCAGTAGTTTTACTTTGGGAGATCTTTGTATCTTCGCGAGTTGGAAGGATCAAATTTGATCTTTGGACGCTATCATAAACATAATTTTTCTTCTGAAACTAATGACTTTGTTGATAGCGTTTCATAACAGTTTCAGGCGAGTCCCTGAGATTCTTCGTTCTTTGCTTCAAATCATTCTCAGGCTTCTTCTTCTTCTTTCGCTTACAGCAGAGCATGGAAGAGTCCAAGTTGCGTAAGAGAATCGTGATCTTATTGGTAACTAAGTAAAAGTATTTCTTAGAATTTTTTGATCTAGAAAAATTTAAGAATTATGTTTTATTTGAAGTTAACTGATGTTTCTACCGAAACAAAGTTTTTGCGTTCTCAAGCAGCTTTGCATCCATAACTCGGGATCTTCCACTGCTCTCGACCAATCGCGCTTGAGCAGCCGCGCATCACTAAAGTCGCAAAATCCGAAAAACGGTTTCACGGGACGCTACTCGCGGAAAAAGTCACGAGAATCAACGAGTCTCTGTTGGAGTCTATTGGACAATTATTTGAGAAATTTCTATTCAGAATAAAACAACAAATATTGAGAAAATGGTTGAAGAAATAAAGGTAAGTTTATATAATCTAGTTTATAAAATATCAATTCAAGAGAATATTTTTTCAATTTCAAATTCAGTCCGAATTCTCAACTTTAATTTAGCCCTCTGCGATACAAGTGATCAAACCGCTAACAATCACAGAAGACGACGAGGAAAAAACAAAGTTCGAGCTCCAAACAGAAGCGCTGGAATCTCTTCTTACAGACAAAAGTGTTGCTAATCTTCCAGTCTCCGTCATCTCCGTTACTGGCGCCTTCAGAACTGGCAAATCGTTTCTCCTAAACTATCTCTTGCGATATTTAACAGCGCTGGAGAATGAGCAGAGCGAAGACGAGTGGCTTGGAGATTTTGATCAAGAGCTCGAAGGGTTCAAATGGCGAAGAGGAGCAGGTAACGAATCAGATTCTTCTGTGTTGCTTTATTGAGTTCTTAGACCCTGAGACCTCCGGAATAATGGCATGGAACAAAGTTTTCGTAATCGAACCGATTCCAGGCCAAAAACAAGCTGTCTTACTTCTCGACACTCAAGGAGCGTTCGATCTTGACTCCGATGTCAAGGACATAACTCTTATATTTGCTCTTTCTACGATGCTTTCTAGGTTTGTTCGTTTCTTCATCCTTTTCGTTTAAAAAACCTCAGTCTCCAAATCTACAACGTACGCGGAAATCTTCAAACCGACAATCTCCAGCATCTGCAGCTCTTCACTGAATTTGGTCGACAAGCGATCGCCCAAGAAGTTTCAGATTCGGAGCCCTTCCAGAACTTGCTTTTTCTCGTACGCGACTGGCAATTAGGTTTCAAGCTCTCTTCCATCCGGTTTCATATTAAAGTTTTCAGATGATTCCGAAGGATTCGATGGAGGAAGCCAATTACTCGAGAAACTGATGAAAATAACCCCGAAAATGAATGACGAAAAGCGCGAGCTTCGAGAACATGTGAAATCTTGCTTCAAGGTATGTTAAATAAATATATTTTCAAAGCACGAATTGATGATTAGAGCATACGGGCATTTTTGATGTCCCATCCTGGCGATGCCGTGCGCAAGGGCGAATTCAAAGGCGAAACCTCAAAGCTCCACCCCGATTTTGTTTCGAATATGAAAACTCTTGTACCAGAACTGCTCAACTTGCCAGATACAAAGTTCGACACTGCAGGAAACCCTCTTACCTGCGCCGAGGTCTGCGACTACTTCAAAAAGTACACGGCGATTTTCCAAAATGAGGAAATGCCCGAGACAGTGACAATCATGGAAGCAACTGCTGAAGTGAATCATCATATGGCGGTGCAGAAGGCGAAGGCTTCCTTCAAACAAGAAATCGAGGATATCATCCCGAAGCAACTTGGATATCTTCAGGCGAATGCCTTTGATGAAAAGTCCAAAGAAGTCATGACGTAAGTTTCTCCCAAAAATCAGTGGAAAACCCCCTTCAGAAATGCTCTCGAAGTTTTTGATGGAACGAAACGAATGCTCAGCAAAAATACGGCCCGAAATTCCGTTCAGACTTGGAAGCAGAACTTATCTCTGACATCGAGCAAAAGAGAAAACTGAACGACGAGCGGAGAGCAGCGAAACTCGTTCAAACGCCACTCATTATTATCGTCGCTCTCTTTGTCTGCTGGTTCGCAATTTTCATCCTCGGTAAAAGTACAAAAGAAGACACGGAATTTATGCGTTTTCTAGAAATGCTTTGGCTCTCTCCTATTGCTGCGTTTGTTAATATCGTTTCAACCCTTCTTATCGGCGGCATTCTCGTCTGGCTCGCGGATCAAAGCAACCTGATTCCCGGCGGATTCCCTGTTCAGCAAATTATCGACCTCATCGCTGAATTACTACGGGACAATATTCTCAAGGTACTTTTTCGTTTCCTACCAAAATCAATTCTTTTCTAGCCAATGGCCGGCGTCGCAATGAACGGAATTCGCCAAGCGAACCCCGACGTCGCCAGGATCATCCAACAAGTAGCAGCGCCTAAGGACAAAGAAGATTAAAAGAAGACGCCATTTCTTTCCAAAAGTTCACGAGTTACAAACTTCATTTAAATAATTTAAACTTATTTTTAGTCCTGCCAAATCTTCTCTTGACTCTATCATGTTTTGTCTCATCCGATATGTTCTTCAAATAAAAACATACCATACAACCAACGGAAAAATACGTTTCATGTCATAATTTTAAGAATGTTTGAGCTAGTCACATTTGAAGATTATGTAAGGATCGAGCCGTTTCTGTTCAATAAAGATCTTGCGGATGCTTGCAGGACGGAGATAAATAGAAAACTCGCGAATAAGGTCTACCAGCGCGCGGGCTTATGCATCTGCATGCACGATATTTTGAAGATTGGGGATTCCGCGATCCTGCCTGGCGAAGGACTTTGGTAAGAAAATAACACTTTTCAAAGTTTTTTTTAATGAATCAGCCTTTATACAAAAGAATTGTTAGTCAAAGTTATCGGAAAACCATGTGATTCCTCGTTCGTGGAGCTGCTGCTTTTGATCCTCAACAGCTGCATGTCTGTTTTTTACGTAGTCGCTCATGAAGCTTCTTTGATGAAGCCTTGATGGACCGAAAAGTAGTTGAGCCTCACAGAATTGGTAAAGAAAAAAAGCTACTGTAATTACCAATTTCATTTTTTGTTCTGGATTGACAAAACTGGATGCCTTTTTATAGAACGTGAAATATTTTTAATATTTCAATTAGCATATGTTTTGGAGCATAAATGATCTTCTATGTTCTTTACTTCCAGATTGTAACCGCGTCATTGTGTTCTTTTTGAGGCTATGAAAAAATAACATCGACCTAAATACATGTCAAAAAAGCGTATCCCAACTGTCCATAGAGAATAAAGCCATATGTTTAGCAGAACATTCATCAAGTTTCGCTTCATCGTATTCCGCCCTTTCATCCGTGAAGTTCTCGTTGGAAAAGTCCGAAGTTGTTCCCGCGAAGGGTTGAGACTGACGATTGGTTTCTTCGACGATATTTTCGTGCCTAAAGAATTTATTCCGGCGCCAAATGAATTTATACAGAGCGAAGGGGCAAAGGGCAAATGGGTGAGCTTTTCTATTTAAAAATATTTTCACAGATTTTGAAAATAATGTTTTTTGATCCGAAATGAAACTGACTTTGTTAGATTTGGACATTTGTCGACGAAGATGACCCAGAAGAGTCCGAAAGCCACGAAATTGTAGAACGAGTTGAGGTTCGATTCAGAGTAAAAGAAGAGAAATTTGAAGAATGTCTCCCAGAAACGGGAAGTGGCAACGCAGCTGTACCTAGAATTCCGTATAAAATTGTCGCCACGATTGATGAGCAGGGTCTTGGCCCGCTTTCTTGGTGGAGCTAAATCAACCTCTTTTGATATTTTTCCTTTCAGATAAATTGGTATGTTATCGGTGTTTCGGAGAGCTTTTGTCGGACGAAAAGTGTCGGTCGTCACGGGAATCGCTGGTTATTCAAAAGCAAGTTACGACAAGCTCGGGCTCCTAGTCCTCGGCGCAGAAGAAGAAGGAAACAGTTATGGAAACGTTGGAGAAGACGCATTCTTTCTGAGAAAGACACTGAGCCCAGTTGACAACTATGGAGTCGCAGACGGAGTTGGAGGATGGAGAACAAAGGGGGTCGATCCTTCAGTGTTTTCAGCCACGCTGATGCTCATTTGTAAAGAAGAATCTGTGAGAGTTGGAAATCAACGCGAATTATTAGCGAAGGCCATGGGTAAGTTTTAAATGACGTTACTTGATGAGTGATATTTTTCTTCTAGCTTTCAGCTTATTATTATTTATTAAGACATAATGAACGCGGTCCATGAATCAAAAGAAAAAGATCTCCAAGGAAGCTCCACCGCCGTCCTTTTGTCCGTAGATAAAGAAGAAGACCGCGTTTCTCTTGCGAATCTTGGTGACTCCGGATTTATTCATATACGCGATGGAAAAGTCGAAAAACGAAGCAAAGATCAAACACACTACTTTAATTGTCCTTATCAACTGTCAGTCAAAATTAAAGGATCACAAAGTATATCTGACTCTCCACTGGATGCAGGTACGCCTTGCTTGAAATAGGGGCACAAATTGATCTTTATTTAGATGAATATGAGTTATCTGTCCAGCCGGATGATATTTTGATCACTGCCACCGATGGTTTGTTAGACAATGTTCCACAGGAGATGATATGTGGTATTTTTGACGGAGTTAGTGCAGGTGAGCACGAAGAATCACGCAAAAATGAAGATTTCTTTTCAGATAATCTCGCTGAAAAACTAGAAGAATTGTGTCAAGTAACTCTGGCAATTTCGCTGGATGAAAACTACATGAGCCCGTTCGCTCTCGAAGCAAGGAAACAAGGCTACCAGCGAGAAAAGGGCGGAAAGCTCGACGACCTGACAGTTGTTGTCAATCTATTCCAGCCTTAACCGTTTTCTTTTTATTTATTTCGCTTCAGCGCTTCACAAAAATAACAAGATCACTCAAATCAAATAAAAAGCCATCGTTATTCAGAATTCAGATTGATTTGGTAATCAATTTTTATGTCAAAGATACTTGACCTTTTTGTCGCTAACCCTCAGGTTTATTTTTCGTCAAATTCAAGCCATCGTGTAAGGGCCTTATTCAGTGGCTATTAGGGCAGGATAAAGAGGATGAAGAGGAGCAACTCAAGGATATCCTCAAAAAAGCAACGCCTAAGTTAAAGGTTTTGCCAACAAAAAAGAAATCGCAGCTCTAGATAATCCCTTTTTAGTCTGTCGTCAAAACAGGTCAAGAACAGCAGCAGTATTTTTTCAAATTTAACCAGACGGGCTTTCTGAAAACAAACCTGCAAGGCCTTCCAGCAGGATTTTTGGTCGAGGTGTCGGGCGAAGCAGGCGCTGGAAAAACATGTTTTGCACTGGAAACAGCAGCTGCAGCACTTTTGAACGACGAAAAAAGGTAGAACAAAAGATTGTTGACTAGTTTATGAATTGTTTTTAAAGCCACGTTCTGTTCATTTCTTCCGAAGGGAAGTTTCCCGCGGAAAGATTGCTGCAGATCATTGGCAATGATTGCAACAGTTACTCGGATAGAGTCCTTGTTGAAGAAACAGAGTACCTAGAGAACTTTCTGACGCTGGTCCAGAAGCTTCCAAATGTATGCAAGAAATACGAAGATTCTGGACATAAAATTGCGTGCATCATCGTCGACTCTATCACGGCGTTGATGCGACTTGAATATGAAGCAAAAGGTAAAACCAACGTTCATATCACGACCGGCTCGAATGTTATTTAAGATTCGATGGCGAGAGGAGACATGCTCGATAGTTTATGCAGTGATCTGAAAGAAATTGCAACGCGCTTCAAATTGCCCGTTCTTTTCATCAATCAAGTGTCTGAGAATATCGACGAGCCGATGATCCATTGGGCCCACCGGCCGATGTCGAAGAAGGTTTGTTTGGACTGAAGAAATTGAGCCAAGATTTCTCAATATTAATTTCAGCCTTCTCTTGGAATAACATGGCGATATTTGATGGACGAGTGTATCTTTTTGTCGATCGAGAAAAATGAAAAAGAAGAGAAAGAACGAGTTCTTGAGGTTACCAAGTCCCAGCGAATAAAAACAGTACCACTGAAGTTCAAAATTACCAAAAATGGCTTTGAAGAAGCGTGCTTGATAAATTGTAACGAGTATTTATTTAGTATGGATTCGGCAGGGGTGCGAAAGAATCTAAACGGTGTCCACCCGAGAATACCGTGAGTAACCGAAATTCACAACAGATTTAAAATTATGTTCAGGATATCTTATGACCTGTACAAACAATTGAAAACGGAGGCATCCTCAGAAATGCAGGAAGGGAATATTTCCTGTTCAAAATTCACCCCGTTGCCGTCTACTGTTGGCAAGTGCCGTCTTGCATTCATGGGTCGCTCATCTAATCCGGGGGCAAGTCCTGATCCAAATCTAATGTTTGTTGATGTTGATCCTCTCTTGAGAAATGTAGATCTCTCTAACTGGAGTGATCTTATCAAACCGTTGAGGATAGACGACAGAAAGAAACAGGTAAAGAAAAATTGAAATCTTAAACGTCAACGATTTCAAGCGAAGCGTCCAACACGACTTATTGCTCGAGCGAAAACGTCAAAGCCCGAGCAAGGGAGTCAACGACTTCAGCTTCACTGGAAACAGACTTCTGATGCAGGGTGGAAAGAGCTCTATTTTCTACGCGGACATTGGGGAAATCCCTAAGTTTGTGACGCACGAAGTTCCAGCGCTAGATAATGCGGCTCCTCGTATGGACCCGAAGCTCTGTCCTGGAGATGTTAATTACATGGCCTTTTATAGAAATGGAAATTTGTGGCTTCAGAATATCGGTAAAATTTAACATGGCCGCTCAAATTTTAATCACCTTTATTTTAGAAAAAGTTGGTGAAATAGTTCAACTGACTAATGCGGGTCAAGAAAACATCGACTTTAAGGGAGTCTATGCAGGCTGGGTCAATTATCTTATTCAAGAAGAGTTCGACCGATATTCTGGCTATTACTGGCAAGACACAGCTTCTCGTACGCAAAGAATCGTGTACGAAGTCTCCGACGAAAGCGAACTTGAAACTCTGACATACGTCAATCATGTTGCAGTCGCTCAGCAGATTTGTGCAGCGGGTGGCGCGAGTTCTGGCAACGCCCGATCAGCGGCGTCTTCTGAAGCCGTCTTTCCGTCTAGTGGAAGTAAAAATCCAAAGACGGATATTCGTTTCTTGACAGTTAGCTTACCGGACAATGAAACCGATAAGGTGACGGTCAGGAGATTCAAACTTCCGATTCCGCTTATGGAGGTAAGGTTCTTCAATAAATAAATTTATTCCTCTTCATCTTAGTACTTGCCATGGAGTGAAACCGAAAAACAAGGCCAGGGTGGCTATTTTGGATTCGGGTATTAGTTGGAATTGGATTGGATCCAATCCAATAAGATTTGGATGGAATTTGGATGGCCCGGGTACCGGATTTTGTTGGGGAAAATTGGGCAATTGGGGGAAATTGCGCAATCGGATCCAAGAAAAACATATCTCTGAAAAAACGGGACAAACGGGGCAAAACGGGACGGGACGGGGCACCGAGTCTGCAAAATTAAGCGGGGCGGGACGGGACGGGGCACCGATACTCCTTGCCCCGTTTCGCACCCCAGATTTCGGATAGAAAATCGTCGTTTTGACTCTGTTGATTCTGTTTTCGAATAAAAACTTACTTTTTCCCTTCTTTTCAAAGCACAAGAAGCCTTGAAAAAATTGGAAATCTATTTGGATCCAATTGGAATTGGGGATTATTGGGGAATTGGGTAAAAATTGGATTGGATTGGATTTTGGATGGATAGGTTCGACTTAAAATTTATTGGATGGAAATTGGATGGCCAGACACCAAAATTTTGTCCAAAATAGCCACCCTGAACAAGGCTACGTCGTTCGTTACGGGTGGATTGGAGATAACGGCATCTGGGCGCATGTTCTGACTCGCTTGCAAAATAAATCAGCGATCGTTTTCATCCCCATCAATTCCTTTGTCGACGAAGAGAGCGAACTCCCTGACAATTTCATCAATCAACATCCTGTTTTTATCCTCCACCAGTGGACAAGCGAAACTTGGATAAAAGAAACTGATTCGATCCACTTTTTGATCTGAAAGTCGCGGAAAATGGAGAAGAAGGAAAATTAGACTTTATCTTTCACTTCGAAAATATGTCCGGCTTTGAGCATCTGTTCTATTTGACGGCGTTGTTAAACTGGAACGCGGATAGAATTCCCGACTTGCAATTCAACTCTACAATCATGTGCGAGACAATGATCAGGCCTATTACAACAGGCAATTGGCAAGTGCAAAACACGGGAATCGACATTGATTTCGCCAACCAGCTTGTGTATTTCCAAGGTAAGATATATACGCTCATTATTTGTCGTAAACGATTTCTAGGAATGCGAGACTCGCCTCTTGAAACCCATCTCTACCGAGTAAATTATCAGAAGGGGAATGCCCATGACGAGTCTTGTCTTCGTCTTACTAAATCCAACTTTAACCACTTCGACATTTCTGTTTTCATCGACGAGAACATGTTTCTTGTAAAATCTTCAAACGTCAACACACCTACCTCAATTGAAATCTACCGGTACGCAAGGCTCAATTTGATGAATTTATATTTGTTTTAGAATTCCCAAGCCTGAAACCGCCATCTTCTGGACAGAAGAAGGTGTGTGCCCTCGCCCGCTTGCCTTTCTTGCCGACGATGTCACTCAAACTCAACAGCCAAAGCCTGAAAAACTTGCGAAGAGAGAATCCCGCGGCCCTGAGATATTTTCCTTCAAAAACAGCTCCGGTGATGAGATTTTCGGCCAGATCTACAAGCCGGAGAACTTTGATTCCAAGAACAAATATCCGACAATTGTCTATGTTTATGGAGGCCCTCGAGTGCAGAACATCAGGAATCAGTTCTCTGCTTCGAGGTCTGACAGGCATAGAATGTATTCCAAGGTTTGTCTCACGAAACTCTTCCCATTCACATAATAACTTGCAGTTTGGATACGTTATCCTAACTTTCGACAACCGAGGATCTGACAATCGTGGTCTCAAGTTCGAAGGAGTCATCAAAGATCACATGGGATACTACGAGGTGCAAGACCAAGTTGAAGGCATTGCATACGTTGCACAGAACATGGGATTCATTGATGTCAATCGCGTGGCTATCGAAGGCTGGTCTTATGGAGGCTTTATGTCGCTTATGGCAATTGCTCAGTATCCTGATGTTTTCAAAATTGCTATTTCTGGTGCACCAGGGAAGGTTTAACTAGATCTCTGTAGAAAGCTGAAATGATTGAGTGTGATTAAACCCAAAAATAGTCGTCGACTGGCGATTGTACGACTCTGCCTATACTGAACGATACCTTGGTTTACCGCAAGACAACCCAAAAGCTTACAGTGATTCGTCCGTGGTGCAGCAAGTACCTAATTTACCTGATGAGCCTAATCGTCTCCTTCTCTTCCATGGCATGATCGATGAAAATGTCATTACAACAAATATGATGGTGCTCATTGAAAAACTCACCAGAGCATGCAAGGTAACTTAAACCTAACTAAATAAATTTTAAAAAATTCTAGCCTTACGATTTGAAGCTATTCGTGCAAGAGCGGCATTCAATGCGCTCCAGCAAAACAGTCGAATATTACGAAATGACTGTACTTACCTACTTGAACCAGTTCCTCTAAGCCGCGCTGTAGCGTATCAGCCGCCAACGAAAGTTTTGTTTTGTTTCTCCAAGGTGTACCTTTTGTGATCACGTTGCTGCCCCGATTTGTTTCTGTATATTTTGTAGAGTTCGAAAATTGACTTTAAAAAGATAAAATAATGACCGTTTATTAAACAATCCTTGATTTTTGAATATAGAATGGATTACGAAGAGTACAAGGAGGATGAAAACGGCGAATTGACAATAACTAACGCGAAGAAAATGAAAAATCTTCAAGTTGATGTTTTGCCATGCGTGTAAGTTAATACTGAATAAGAAAGGTTCCATATCTGCTAAGAATCCACGAGTGCGATGGAAAAGAAGTAAGTCTCAACGGCTGGTTCAACATGTACCGCCGCCAAAAAGACGGAACTGCTACCTCGATGTTCCGCGGCCGCCCTCTCCAAGGAAAAACGTACAAAGATACCAATTTTTATCTCATGAAAGAAGACAAGCTAAATGAAGACGCGCTAAAAGCAACTGCTAAAGTAACTGAATTCACCAACTGGGTAGTTCAGGTAAAAGCAACATCGAGAAAGCAAGAAATGAATTAATTTTAGCCTCTTGTGGAGGACCGAATGACCGCCTTTGTCGAGCAAGTTCCAGCTCTGATGGCCGCTCTCCATGAAACTTGAAACTCATTCAAGTTTGCTGCTTTTGACATTTAGCTTCACTGCCTCATTTATCAAACATAAATAAAGAAGTATCGAACTTTTTGAATAATGAGTTTAATGAATTCCTGAACGGACTCGTTGAACTCAATAAATAATCTTCATTCATTGCCAATAAAAACGACCAGCTGTAAGCAGTAAAAACCAATGTTAGGGTCGCGCAACAATGATGATGGATCAGTGATCAGACTGATTGAAAGTGCTTCTTAAATAATTATCAAGAACCTTGATTCGAAATTGAACCACGATACGTACCAAAATAATAATTAATAATTATGCAACTATGCAACAAAATTATAATATTTGGGACGGTACAATTCCTGTAACAGTTAATTTCTTCAAAGATGTAAAAAGAAGAATATTTACAGTCGATGAAAACGATTAAATGTCCGACAATATCAATAAAGTCACTAAGTAGCGAGTTGTAAGGGTAGATCACTATAAAAGTTATTTCAACATTTCTTGTCGGGACCGCCCTTGACCACACTCTGGGCGTGTTCAAACCAAATAATTCCGCGGGCTTACTGTATCTAAAGTGTTGTCGAAATGTTGCGTGATGCTGACGTTTGGAGAATCGGATTCTAGATGCTTTGGTGGTGCTCCTTGAGGACATGTTTTGAAGTGTTAAGATTGCATCATATCACCGGCGGTGGCTTCGTTTAGCCTCTGAACATTACCGGTTGACCAATCAAAAGCGGCACAGCCCAAGTCCGTCCCACCGAGCATCCGCCTTCTGTCCTCACTCTTCAAGAGACTGCCCCAGCATCAACACCTTACCCCTTTTCCAGACGATTTTCAAAAAATATCATGAGGTTAGTACGCAAACACCTGTACAACCCCACGTGGCGGCGCCTTTTCTCCAAAGGGCGTGGTATGAAATATTAAATGAGACTTTACTAAATTCCGCACCTCAAAAAGTTAGATAAGAATGAGGTTTGAATAGGTATCCTTTCGCGATGAAATTTGCATAAACCTGATGCATAATGTTCTAGAATTTTAAATAGCTCTACCCAAGATTGAAATAAACCGGAGTGTAGATTTTTACGATTAAATCATGCTTTGTTTTTTTTTTTGGCCGATTCAACTTTTGAAAGGGCTTCCGTAAAATCGTCTTGATAAAGTTAAACCTGGGAACGGGTTCGCTCATGCAAGAGCCGCTCTTGTTTGTAATACAAACTTGAATTGGGCTGTGCTTTCGCGCAGATTGTTGACTGTAAATTTTTAGCGGAGAAGCACCCTTCAAGAATTTCGGAACTGATGCTATCCACGCTGGACAGGAACCAGAAAAGTGGGACTCTCGATCGGTCGTTCCCTTGATTGGTCTTTCTACTACCTTCAAGCAGGTTTCACCCGGAGTTCTCCGTCACGACAGATACGAGTACTCTCGAGGAGGCAACCCAACCCGAGAATGCCTTGAAGAGTGCGTTGCCAAGCTCGAAAATGGAAAGCACGCTCTTGCTTACGCTTCTGGACTCGCCGCTACCATGTCAATGGTTGAAGCACTTCTTGAGGTGAGCAATTGAGGATTTTCAATTCCAAGCACTTCGGCTTTGACTTGTTACATAAGATTTAAATAACAGCTTACTTATTCTAAGAAGTCCGTTCAATCATCATTATAACATCGTTATTTTGATAGGTTTAAAACTTACTTCTCCGAGACGGTCGTAATTCAGCATATCCAACGCTAGATGAACGGGTCTTAATGAAGGTACGCCTCCCAATTAGTCGGGAGAGTAAACGAGATCATTATATTTTTTCGAGCCTGATATTTACGCCGTCATTCAGAATGGCGACCACGCTGTTACCGGAGACGATCTCTACGGAGGAACCAACCGATATTTCAACAAAGTCGCCTCCAAGCACGGAGTTGAATTCACCATGGTTGATGTTCGAAACCCTGATAACGTTGTCGCTGCCATCAAGCCAAACACTAAGATGGTCTGGTTCGAGCTTATGTCCAACCCACTTCTTCGAGTTGGAGAAGTCAAGACCATTGCTGAGAAGGTCCACGCTGTCAACAAGGACATTGTCGTTTGTGTCGACAACACCTTCCTTACATGCTACAACTCTGTAAGCCAATTGATCATTATCAAGATTTCTAAAGTATATTATAGCGACCTCTCGATCTTGGAGCCGATGTTGTTATGCATTCCGCCACAAAGTACATGAATGGTCACTCTGACGTCGTCATGGGTCTCCTTGCCATGAAATCTGATGAGCTCAAGAAGAAACTCATGTTTGCCCAGTTTGCTATCGGAGCTGTACCATCTCCCTTTGACTGCTACCTCGTCAACCGAGGTCTTAAAACCCTCCACGTTCGAATGCAGCGACACGGCGAGAACGGTCTTGCTGTCGCCAAGTTCCTCGAATCTCACGACCGAGTCGCTGGTGTCAGTTACCCAGGTCTTCCATCTCATCCACAGCATGAAGTCTTCAAAACAGTCGCTCGTGGCTGCTCTGGAATGGTCGTCTTTTATATCAAGGGCGGTCTCGAACAGGCCAAGACATTCTTGGCGTCTTTGAAGGTAGATAAACTTTAATAACTTCAATTTTTTATGAGCTTTTAGGTTTTTACCCTTGCTGAATCTCTTGGCGGATTCGAGTCCCTCGCTGAACACCCTGCCATCATGACCCACGCTTCCGTTCCCGAGGATCAGCGAGAGGTTCTCGGCATTTCTGATACATTCATCCGACTCTCTGTTGGCCTCGAAGACGAAGCCGATTTGCTGGCTGATTTGGATCAAGCTCTCAAGGCTGCCCTTCCAACTGTCTAAATAGTTTATATTTCTTTTATTTCGTCCCTGTCTCTTCTCCCGCCAGTTCACATTTTGTTTAGGTATTGTAGACTATTTCTAATTACAAAGCAATTGTGCTAGGTTTAATAATGATAAAATATGAATTAAATAAATATTCATAATCAAATCTTCGTTGTTGTTACACAAAAACACGCAAAAGCAGGTCAGGTTGTTTTTAACGGTCAATTTTATCAAGATTTCTTCGAAATTGTGGCGCCAAAGTCAAGATTCACCCTATAAAACCCCCGGTCGAGCGGCCGTTCAACCAGTCGTGTGATTTCCGCCGGCTGAGTTTTTAAGTTTCAATTTTAAGTTTCCCTTTTTAAGTTTCAACCCTAAGTTATGCTAGAGAAATTAATCTTCTTGTTACTGGGGACGGTAGCCGCGCATGTGAAGGTCTGCCCTCTCCATACAAATGTCGTCTTTGATCTTAGTTATCAATGTAATGCTGTAAGTAAGCTGCAAGACTACTAGGTCTTAAATAGAGTTTTAGCACACTAGCACATTAGAAGTACGTAAGACAAACGTCGCAGCTGCTATCGCCGAAGTAAACACCTTGAAAGCTAGAGGCTTCTGTGACAATTTAAACTCCTTCACGATGTTGTTCAACAATCCATCAAACGACGACTTCAGGTTTGATTATTCATCGTATTCAAGTAAAATGGTATATTTTAGTATGCCAGTAGTCTCTCCTCCTTGGGGAGATTATGATCCTGGCGTTGCTACCTCACAGAGCTACAGTTTCACCGAGGAAGAGCTACACGTCATGTTTTATATCGATGCCCAGTGGGACAGTGGGGCCGCAAGTTTCGACTGGGATTGGATGGCCTACAAAATCATCCAAGAAGTGCAAAACAGCGTGTACCCGTCAGGAACTACTTTTGAAGTCTTCGTTGCTGCTCCTTCCAATACATACGCTCACTATCCAATTTATAGATATGATACTATTGATAGGAAACGCCGAACAACAGGTAGGATATTCTAAAATTTTTAGGTTAAATCAATTTTAAGACTCACAATATCATGATTGCGAAATCCGAAGTGTTCAAGTTCTCTACCAACGACTGGCAGCAGCGCTTCGAGTAGGACCCATTGCCACCGAAATTGTTCACGCAGCCGGCTTACAATCGACAGGACTCGTTAACCTAAGCTCCTACTACCTCAAGTAAGCTTCTTTGATTCGTATTCCGTTAACAATTCATCAAGATACGTTAAAACTGCCGAGCGAAACCGCATTATCTCCGTAAACATCATCAACCACGAAAGTTTCGTTACGAGCATCACTCATAATGACAAACTCCGATTCTTTTCCGAAATTAGCCATGTTGAGGCCACGAAGTCAATTTGCTCGCTCTTCCTCTTCCGCGAACAAACCTGGCTTGATAATTTCTACATGATTATGGAAATCGATAGCTATGACGGAGAAGATGTCAATTTTGGCCTCATTGGCGGTTATTGGCGATTCGAATTCCAGTATTTGGTCAATTACTGGTACGGTTCCCCAGTTATTGTGCCACCGGTTGGTTCTGTTACTGACGCGCCAGTTACTCCCCAGTGCGAATGCCAAAATGGATGCACCTGCGAACCTTCGTGCAAAGATGAAAATAATTATTATTGCAAGCCTCAAGGTAAGTCTTTCAAAATCTCTTCCTTAATAACATTTTATTTCAGTCGGTTTCCCGTTTATTGGTAAAAATTGTGAGTATCCGATTCAACCTCGTTGCACCACCGACTCTGTCTCCATCTCAGTTCCAAACGAAGCCATCTTCTGGTATGCACAGGGAGTTCCGAACGTGGCCGTGCACGGATGTGCAGCTGGTACGATTTGCCACCCCTCTGATGCTATTTGCGGACCATTCCGTGTCACTCCTGGTAGCACAAGCGTCATCGCCTCTTGTCCAGTAACACCTTCTCTCGCCGGTGGCAGCTTACGCTCGTCAGTCACTTTTGTCTTGGACCGAGTGGACGATCTCATAAGCATGCCTCGCGCCCTCACTCGCGTTGACTGTGTTGTTGAGGTTCGACAAGCACAAGCTGTCATCCGCCCTGAAATTCGAAATGTCGGCACTGTTTCTAAAGTTAACATTTGGCAGCCAACAATGTCCTTCTGGAAAACTAACTTCAACGTTCGCCCAGGAATCCCCGCGAATAATCTCGCTGTTCCCGGTACTGGCACAATCATCTACGTTGTTGGTGAAATGCTGCATGTAAGATTAGAAGCAGATTACAACGGGACTCCGGCGAGTCAATTGCCGACACCACACACAATCTCGTTGGACACTTGCACTCTCCGATCATCAGTTAACGCTGGCCATGCGATCACAATCTTGTCAAATGGCGTTGTCCCGCCAAATCTGCCTTTCCCCGTTGTTGTTGATCGCGCTGCTGGATCGGTTGGCGGTGGCCAGGAGTTCCCCGGAGTTGGCTTCCAATTCCAAATGTTTCAGTTCGCGCCTGGTACGGAAATCACGCTGATGTGCTCCGTACGTATGGATAAAAACAGAAGACGACGAAGATCTTCATACGATCCCTACTTGCTCCATGAAAATGAACAGCATACTTTCTCCGAATGGAGAGAACTTCTGGATCAATATGAAGACTACTATGAAGAGTACGAATCAGATGAATACTTGCCCGAGCTTTATAGCATTTCTGATGAGTATTACGACCTTGGCAATGATGAAGAACAAATCGAAGTTACATTCTTCGTGGTTCAAGAAGCATCCGACATCGACGCCCTTATTGAAGAAATCATTGAGGATCTCCAAACACTCACGATCTACGCTGACGTTCCTACGACAACCACGACGACAACCACGACAACGACTACGACCAGAACAACCGTTGATCTTGGCAAAATGATTGATGAATTTTTCCATGGAAACTTCACGACACCCAGTACCACCCGAACGACAATCAATCTTGCAGATGAAATTTTGGATTTCTTCGAAAACGGGACGAGCTTCATCGAGTCTAGCGGCAAAAAGCTGAAATCTGAAGTAAGCCAGTGAACTAAACTTTTTTCATTTTTATCAAAAAAAAAAATGAAACGTCTTTTAAGGTCTACGAAGAGGTTGAAGAGATCGAAAAGATCTTAACGGAAACAGCTAGCTTCATATGGATTCGATACCTTCTCATCAGCCTCCTCGGCGCCTTCACGATTCTCCTCATTATCTTCCTCAGACAACGAAGAGAAATGATCATTCAAAAGAGGCTTGAAGAAGAGGCCCTTATGGGCGAAGATAAATCTGCCTTTGGCTATTCTTTTTAACTTTTTAGTTTCTTTTTAAGTTTTCTTATGTTCAAATATATTATTTTTTCAGTTAAAATATCGTCTTTGTTGATTCTTGCAGTGACAAGATGCATAAGCAATTTATTAGAGCAGGGAACCCTGCAAGGGATACTTATGTATGGCATAATGGCGTCAATTTTCTTTTTCAAGCAAGATTCGAAGTATCAGCTAAGGAAGAAGAGGACATTTTGCTTTAGAGGTCATACGCAACAACTGAAAATTTCGAAATCAGATCGCAGATGTATGAAAAATTTTCGCTCTCCATTAAAAACAACCGGTCCTCAGTCGCGTTCCTTGCAAAATCGAGAGCGGACTGTTTTGAGTTTTTTCTTTTTTAATTTTAAGTTAGAGATTTATGTTCAATTTTTTGTTTCTTTTCGGCGCTGCTGCCGCGTTATCTTGCATTGACAATCCCTGTAATAACGGATGCGAGTGCGAGACTTCCTGCAAGGATGAAAATGACTACTACTGCCGACCGAATGGTATGGGAAAAAGAGAAGAGATTCACTTTGAAATGAACTTTTAGCTGGTTTTCCATTCATTGGAAAAGATTGCGACTACGAGGCTATTCCGCTCTGTACTTCAACCGGCATCAAAATCAGGATTCCTGCTGGGGCAGTAGAGGAATACGCTCGTGGCATCCCTAACGTCGGCATTCATGGTTAGAAACATTTATTAAAGTATAAGAAGTAATGAAATTTTTAAGGATGCGCCAACGATGTTTGCTCAGCAGCAGGCGCCGTCTGTGGACCAGCGACAGTTTCAAACCTTGGCTATTACGAACTCGAATGCCCAAGCCTACTTAGCTTTGACGGACAAGGACTTACGAAACGCATAACCTTCGTGATGGACAGAATCAACGACTTGATCAGGTTAAATTTATGACAAGCGCACAAAAATTTCAACGGTCTTAGCATGCCGCGCGCTCTTACAAGAGTCGTTTGCCAAACTGAAATTCGCCCGGCTGTCTCGGTGATTCGTCCCGAAGTCCGCGCTCCCGGCAGCATGGAACAAATCGAGTTCTGGCAGCCGGTCATGTCTTTCTACAAGACTGCTTGGAGCGTCCGACCCGGAATCGCCGCTAACAACATGGCCACTCCACAAGGTGAAATTGTTTACGTCGTCGGTGAGACTCTTCACGTCCGTGTTACCGCAAAAAGCGATATTGGTTCTGGTCTTCACTCGATGGAGCTTGATATCTGTACCGTGTCTGATAACATGGGCAAGTCGATTACCATCATCAATGACGGCGTTGTTCCCGCTGATGTTCCTTTCCCTGTTGGCATTGACTTGCAGAAAGGCTTTATTGGTAAGTGAAGGGTTCATGAAATATCATTGATATGTATATCAATCATTTTATATTTTGATAAATAAAAATTTTTCAAGGCGATAGTTACGACCCTGAGGGTGTTGGATTTCACTTCCAGATGTTCCAATTCACTCCCGGCACTAAGATCTACCTGACCTGCCGAGTACACGTCAACCCCAACCGACGAAGAAGGGCTGCGCTTGAAGCTTCTTCCGACAAGCCAACGACTGAAGACGTCCAAATCAAATTCATCATTGTTAACCCACAAGAAAAAGAAGAAGTCATCAGCGATTTAGCGAATGTTATTGTGAAAGAGCGATTCTTCGAAGATGCGTTTGGAAATGATCAGGTATTTATGTAGATAAACAGAAATCTTCCCCTTCGGGTCGACGAACTTATTTCTATGCATTTTTTCTTCTTATGATCAAGCTCTTTTAGACAAACAATGATGAAGAAATCATCGTAGAGAGCAAAGAAAATACCACGAACGAAAACAAAATCACACAGCGATGGTGGATCGCTACTGGACTCATCCTTGTTGCTCTCCTCACTTTGACTTATGCATTGCTTCGCTATCGCCAGCAGCATCAAAAATTGATTATTTAATTTCTGTATTTTGTTTCAGTTTCTTTCAATACATCATTTATTATATTGATACTTTTCTAGCTTGTCCTACTTTCGCACGACAAATATTTGGATATCTTTGCAGTTTATTTATATACAGGTAGTTTACAAGCGAAGAGGAAAAAAATGAAATCATTCTGGGACTACAAAAGCTGGCTCGGATTCTTCCTCCCAAATGATTAGCCCGGAATTGATAATTTGCTCTCTTGTTCGTACGATTGGCGTTTTCGTAGTAAAATTTTCACTTGATCTCTTCTGCACTCTCTTCGGCGTTGATTTGGAATCCTTCTCGAACTTTCTCAGAAGAATTTTTGAGAATTTCAAAAATCTTGAGGTCTTAGACTTCTTCGTCATTGCGGGACTTCTTGCTTTCTGAGTGATTGCATCGAAGACTTTCTGGTTGAGGTCTATCTCGACTTTGTTCAAGTTAGTGCAGGAGGAGAAGTATCTGGAGTCTCTACGAAGTTTTGGCGGATACATCGATCGATCGACAGTGACACTGTCATATCGAGGAGCTCTTCGGATTCTCAGTGACATTTTCTTGTTTTTTTTTTGTTTTTCGAATATTCTGTTTTGCTTAACGGAAGTACTTGATATTTATAAAAATCTAGAACAAGCTCTCAAGCGCCTACAGGTGGACATTACGCCACTGATATTGTCAGTCCTGCGCAGATGCACCTGCTTTTGCTACTGTCGACTGCAGGAGGCCATCAAATGAGGGCAATTTTACGGATGAGCACCGGAATCTCAATTTTCGTGCTTCGCGAAATAATTGTAACTTGAAAGGGAAGCGGAAGTGTGGGACCGATGCTATCACCAAAAGCGGCCGAATTAAGGCCTCGTTTCCATAACCGAAATGCAAATTTTATGCTTCATTAATCTGTTCTCGACTATTCGGATTCTTTCTATTTTAATTTATTAAATGAGAGGATATATTATTTTAGAGTATATAATTTAATATATCAGAGCTACAAGTATTTGCAGTTGTGTTGATCAGGTAAAAAAAGGAAGATACAGTCTTTTATCGTCAAATTTACAGTTACGGGAAAATAAACTGGAAGAATGATGATTTACTCTTCTTCCTCCGGATTCATGTACTGGAATATCGCCATGAACATGAAACCGGAGAACATGATGAAGCACTAGAATAATCTTAGAGAGGAACTTATACCATGTTTATTACCTTTAGAGGTCCATTTTTAACATGTTTACCAACAAATTCATGCGGCACAAGTTCCAAAAACGTGACGTAAAAGAACGTTCCCGTAGCAAAACTCTCCAAAACCGCAATAAGAGCACCTATCGTTTCTCCGCCCAAACTTGTTATTAGAATTCCGATTCCGACACCCAGCGGGGCCATCATTGAGAAAATACAAATTGCGCTGCATAGGTAAGCATGCTAAAAATACCGTTATTTACAGCTGTTTGCTAATGAGCAATATAAATTTATGCGCAATTTGTTTTTCAATAGCTTTAAAAACTTGCCTCGATCTCCGAGGAAACAAGCTGCATCCCCGTCGAAAACGCAATTATTGACTTGTGAATAAGCACAGCAGACATTGTCCCCAAAATATCTCCAACTTCGCCACTAGAAAGCCCAAAAACAAGCCCTTCGAAGATCGCATGCAAGCTCAGCGCGCCCACCAGAATCAGGGTCCTCATTTTTGACTGACTTGTCATGTCAAAGTGGCCATGGTCGTCTTCTTCTGGATTTTTAGATGTCAAAAGTTTTTTATAAAACATAGCCTGATTCGTTAAATTTTGTATATAATCAATTGTAACTACCGCTTTGAACATTGATCTGGTAGCTTGGGTCGATTGGCTGAGATTTTGGGCTTTGGACAACATTTGAATTTGTCTTTATCGGGAAGTCTACATTTCTAAATGACGAAAAATATAAACTTGACAAGAGAAGGATGGTTATTTCATGTTTGCTAGTTTTTAGAATCTTTTTTATCAAAAATGTATATAGATCTCTCCGTTCCAGAATATCAACTTGAACTTGCTTCGCTCTAACGTCTGGTTCATTATTCGCCCGGACCGGTAGATTACTCTGCGTGCTTTTTGAAGTGATGTCTTTGTGGTTCTTTGCGATGCAGTAGGAAGTGACGAGCTGCTCGAGCATCAAGACGAAAAAGAAGCCGATCGCAGCTGTTACCTCCGCGAGTGGATATTCGACCTCGAATTCTTCTTTCATACTTTCGGATACCTACCCCGGATAATACTCGAAAGATCAAAAGGCAAGTACTTGTAAACGCGGTAAGATAAGAGTCTCTAAAGAAAAATTTCATAGAAGGAAAATCTTATTCCATTTTATTCTTAATTTTTGCCAAGTTTGTGGTTGATCAAAGAATTGACCTTGGTTGTGCCCGGAAGAACATACGTCTTTTGGGGAATAGCAACTGGAAATGCTGGCTTATGCGTCGGAACAAACCGCAATGGAAACGGTCTCTTGAAAAGGAATAAATATTTTATTGATTCCAGTTGCATTGTTCACTACAAAACTCGTAGTTTCTGAATTTAAAATCGAGTTCATCCGGGTTCCTCAGGCAGCATGTGTAGCATACAAGTGGCAAAGAAGATGCCGGCCGCGAAACAATTGAGAAAGGCGATCGACTCTGATTTCTGATGCTAAATGAAGCGGATAAGCGCGAATTATGACGCTTCAGAATTAAGACTCTCATAATCCTGTGAGCCTTTTGGAACGGAAGAAATTGAAAGCAACTATTAATTGACAAATGATATTGAGCTTAGCTCTCAGAGGATGTGACTATCTTTCTGACAGTAATAGCGTGTGTTAAACAAGACTTAGGCAGGGTTTCAATTTAATGTGCCAAGGCTACCCCTTAATTTCTACATGGCTGTCCGAATCTAGTACTTTTTAGGAATCGTCTCGACAAGATCTGTCGATTTATCGAACGAAGATTTTAAAAAAATTGATAGTTTCGGACTTGTATGAACTTGAAAAATGCACTAGAAAACACAAAAACCGATAAAACTCGGAAATGAACTTGAAATCTAAAAATCGGCCTCGATAAAACAAAAGATCTTTTTATGAGGATTCTTAAAAGGTATGATAGTACTAGGCTAGTACCTATAGTTTTCCCGCAAAACGAAAAGCAAATCTGGCACATTAAATTGAAACCGGACCTTAGTTATTTAAGAGAATGGCTAATCTAGTTCTTTTGGGGAGCAGAATCTAATCTTTATATTCTCATGACTGGAGAAATAAGACCAGTTGCTAGTCCGGATTTAAACACAGACGACGAGACATATTTAGACTTCTGCCAGAGCAATTTTAACTTTTTCGAGTTCTTTTTTTAATTGAAAATTCATCTCGTCCGGCTGTCTATTCCAAAAATATGCTCGAATGTATAATAATCCAGGTGAGGTTCACAATTTCACAGTTAAAACTTACTTTTCCATCTGTTCTACTATGGTGTTTGCCATGCTTTCTATCCATCCACCACTTTCGCTGAAGGTCTTCATAGATTTATTTTTTCTTGAGAAACGTCAAGTGTGCATATCCATATTTTAAGCTTGTACGACTGAAATAACAATCAGACCCAGTCCTTAATTCCAAGACTCAAGTGGCCAAAGATCAACCCATCGATCAGTAAAATAACAAGTATGATGATTTTCGCTGCGATCGTATTCATTTTCTCTTTAGCAGCGACTTCTAACTACGTATTGAAATTACCGAAGTCCACTTTAAATACAGTTAAAGTGGTCTCGAAAGTGTAATAAAATTCTCTCGGCGGATAATTAGCATTACCTGACTGGGAGTGGATGATGGTTATTGCTCGGGTCACATGGAAACAAATAGCCTGTTGCCGGAATGCACTTATATTGAAATTGAAATTATCATGAGTAATTTTTGAAATTTCAATAACTGATTTGAATAACTGATTTATGAAAATTTTATGAGAAATTTATAATAATTTTATTGTATTATTATTCTTTTGAAAAATATCATTTTATGTCATTATTGTTTACTTCTAAGGATGCTTATTCAACCTTCCGAAACTTGATAATTCTTCGTCAATAAAATCGTAAGTCCTGTCGATAAAAATTTGTTGGTCAATATCTGTTTGGGATGCTCGACTGTGCCGTTCTCTTTATTCTCAGGGCTGGGATCGTTGGCGAAGTAAAGGAGATACAAGCGCTCTTGTTTAGCCGATGAATTATAGACTAAACCAGACTCATTGCAGAGAAAATCATCTCATTTGTTCAGCTCGTTCAGCACCTCGGGAGCATCAGAACTTCAACCCAAAATTCCTTGTCAGCAGTTCATACCAAAGTAAACAAGCACGGAAAATATCCGCCCTGTTACTTAAAAATTCACTACTGAATCGATCAATGTTAGAAATGCATTATTGTCTCTGGAATTGGCAACCCTAACCATTAGAGGCAACGCTTTCATGCCTTATTTAAACAGAAAATATTAACTCCGAAAAATGTTCAAATTCAACCAAATATTCAATAATACGATATCTTAGACACGGTTAGACAGTGTTCATATCTTCGTTAAATATATTATTATTTTCAGTTTGTTTTTGACGTGCAAAGACACTCTTAAGACACTGGTTTTGTCCTTGTTGATTTCAAATAAGCTGAAATCAACAAAAAGGTCGAGGTTGTTTTAGTATCAAAATCATGTATTTGAATTTTTAGAGAAGAGCGTTTTGGCAGAGGTTGAGTAGCAGTTATTCTATATTTTGAAAGTATGTCTGGAAGCATAGACTAAATGGAAAGGATAAAAATTGGGTTACAAGAGGAACATCAATTATGACGCGGTTGTCATTGCCTTTCGCAGTGCTGGTACGGAGACAGCCGCGCCTGGAGCAGTGAGCTTGAGCACTTTTGTAATTGCGGCAATGGCCTCGTCAGCCAGGTCCTGTTCATCGGTTGAAGTCTCTTGAAAGCTTTTACCGGACAATCGTAGAATTTGTTGGCGGCTGTTAGGAAGGGTCTTCACTTCATAAGTCAAAGATTTTTCCGAGAATGTGTGTACTCGGTATGATTACGTTAGAGAAAGTTGACGACCCTTTCCTAAGTTTAGGAATAACATCAGCAATGTAATCCAAAAGGCTCTGAATGTTTTCGACACGTTCAGATGCACCAGGTTTAAACGCATCCAAGAAGCTGATGTCGATGCCAAGGTCCTTGAGGGTTTCAAGCTGATCCGCCTTTGGCTCGTGATAAGTCAATTCATCAAGCACTAAATTAACGATAAAGTAAAAGTTTTTATAACCATTCTTATTTGACTCTATCCGTACGTTCTTTCTCCGCGTTTTCATTGCCCAAACTTGACTTTGCTAGATAGTCAGTGATCGTGAATTCATCAGCATTAGCGATCTTTTCGAGGTCTTCTCGAAATGGGTCTTTTCGTGTGCCTATCATCATATCCGTCATTTTCTTGTCTAGTGTTGCATTTCGGGAGTCGAAGACCGGTGCAAATGAAGAGTACGGTCCGTAACTCATGTAACTTTTCAAGAAGGCTCGGTCTTCAATCGTTCGTGTTTTCTTTGAAAATTCTGCAGCACCATGAACGCGGCCTGTTATATCAGCAAGTGTCATTGGTCGCCCATCCATGTTATATACAGTAGGTTGAGCATCTGCTTGTAGAATGTTGAGTCTTGTTTCGCCAGGCGCAAGTGGAGACCCAACGTTTTGCTCAATCGCCATGGACATTTGAGAGGAGCTAAAGTCAAGGCTTGAATCATTAATAAGGTAAAATAAACATACAAATATTCATCCTCTTGTTCATCTTTCGGCGAGATTGGAAGCTCCGTATCGATCTGGTTACCGACGAGAATATCGCGAAGCTGGCGTTTGGGGAGTTCTTCGTCGATTCCTATTTCCTCGCAATAGTCTGAAGAAATTATTTGACTCTCAATCGAGAATATTTTCTTACCAAGAAGATTTCGATAAGCTGTGATCTTGTAGGCAAACTGGTCGAATTTCAGCGCAAACTTGTGACGAATCGTGTTTGATGGAAAGAAGTCTGTCTGACACTTGCAGACCTTCAAGAAATGACTAGATTCTTAATTCGGGAGACCAATTATTACCTTGGAAACTGCCTGACGAAACTGATGAATATTGAAAAAGCACATTTTATTCACTTTATCCGCTACATTTGTCATGTCATAGTGGGCATTGAAAGGGTAGTTTGGATAAAGAAGAGAACATGGTTTCTGATGAAGGAAATTGGTCGGGTCCTAAAACATATAGTTTCCTAGCGAATGCATTTTCTTTATAACCTTGACTTTGAGCTTTGACAAAATATGTAGTAAAATCTCCCGCACTCGTTTTCGCCGATCCATATCGCTAACAAAGTCATCGGTTGGCATCGGCCTTGCCATCTTTTGAAGAGCCACTTTTGACTTGAGCTGTTCAGTCTCCGAGTGATCTCGTTGCATTCTTTTTGCTTCTGGCTTTCCGAGACTTTCACTGGCATCGGAAATTCGCCGCTTTGGCTTTCTACCTGGCCTTGATGACGAGCGAGAAGGTGTGTCTCGCCTCGACATTCTAGTAGAAGAAGATATGAAAAGAATGGTAAGGGATAAGAAATTTATTGAAGAAAAAGGAATGATTGCTGGAAGAAAGAAAAGACAGAGTGATTTTTCAAACGTAAAATTTGCGATTCACAAATGGTGAAAAAGAGTTCGACTACTCCTTCATGGCGACTATGGTCTTTTGAAGACTGAGAGCGATTTGATTCGTAATGTGTTTGCTATCGTAGCGAGCATAGTGACTGAGAGCGGGAGTGACTCGAACGAGGTTTTCCCAGGCCTCCCAGTCTGATGAGCGGATGCGATCTTCGCTCTTCATGTGCAGGAGGTTTAGCAAGTGGCTGAAGTAGTTGTTTTAGAGAGAACTTGCTGTATTTCTAAGGTAGTTATTAGCCTCTAATAACCGAAAAGAGATTGACTAAGAGTACCAGAGTGCTGTTCTCAAGATGTTAATTTGTAACGACATATCGACTGGCGCTTCTAAGTTCGCTGCGTCCCCTTGGTAGATCGACTCAGCAGGTGTAAACGTTGTAGATTTTTGGCGCTGCTTTGCTCGAATTAATATTGGATTGTACGCAGTTTCGACAGGAGCGAGTTCCACAGTTCTAAGGCGACGATTTCCTGCTGCAAGTGCAGTTGCAAGAGCATCCTTAGAAGTGGTTGAGCTTTTATGTTAATAATTAATAATGATAATCTCAAAAATCTTTATTTGGTCATTTCAAATGAATAAGATAACAAATATTAAAAGAAACCAGGCCTTAGATTTGATAAAATGCGGTGAGAAGAGGGGAATATCTGGCGCATCGGAAATTAGCCACGGGTGTTGCATCACTTCTTCAATATTCATCCTCTTCTCTGGATCGACCACAAGTAGCCTAAATAATAATATGAATAGTTAAAGATGCCAAAAATCTCTTTAATAAGCTTTCGACAAAAGCCTGAAGTGTTTTCATTGGGAATTCCTAAAGATTCTACGCTTGATATCAAACTTGCCAAAAAGCGTCTTCTTTAAATATAAAGTGATTGATTTACCCTTTTATAAGATCTTTCGCATTGTCCGAGACCATCTCCCATTCTCTATCTGGGAATTCAAACTCTGCATTTGCAATTCTCTTCTTCATGACTTTATCGATCCCCTTTCTCGCCGCCTGGGCTGGATAGAACGGTGGATAACCCCGAGCATAATATAAATTATAACACCCAGGGACCAGATATCACAGGACTTGGAGTAGGTATAGGCTTTGTCGCGCTTGTAGCAGGGCTGCCCAATCGGATCGGAATCCGATCGGAAATCCGATCCAATCGGAATCGGATCGGTAATCGGTCGGATCGGATGAGGAAATTTTTTCATGTCCGATCGGGAAAATCGGATCGGAATTTCCGATCGGAAAATTCGGATCCCCGTCGGATCGAACCACTAAAAAGCTACCAAAAATGACGCCAGGGACTAAATTCACATAGGCCAGGGACATAATTCCATAGGCCAGGGACTTTATTCACATAGGCTTTTTCTAGACTTAATTTTTCTTTATTCTGCTCCAAATTGGTGGAGGTGTGAGTCGAGATATTTCAATTCTCTCTTTTGCACCAAGTTGGGGAGGGTCTGTAGTGTATTAAATAAGCTTTTGGTGTCAACACCATTACTGGCGGTGGAGTGATCAGCTGCTCAAAAATACACTAAAATCATAGGAAAAATCTTGATGACGTCATTAATCCACCACCAACACTGGTGTTTCCGCCAAACATGTCAAGAATGTTTGATATTGATGAAAGGAACACCCCTAAGTGATGAAATTGCAGATCTATAGACTGTAAGCATTTTCAATTTTATTTTGTCCCCAACGACCAGTCGGAAATTCCGGATTCATGACGTCATAGGAAGTCAAAATTGATCCACCATTTTGCAGCAGTTTAAAAAACCTGTTTCTACTGTTGCCATGAACACTATTGAAAAAACTGCCACTTTTTGAAAATTGAAAATCTTCCTTGATTTTTCCGATCGGAAAATTTTCCGATCGGACATGTTTTTCCGATCGGAATTGGAAAATCCGATCGGATGAGGTTCGGATCGGATCGGATCGGAATCGGATCGCCGAGACCAAGATTTTTTGTCCGATTGGGCAGCCCTGCTTGTAGCGTTTCTGGGCTTCGAGAACTTGCGGTGACGCGTAATAAGGGGTGAATTGAGGAGTAGCGAGGTCATTGTTGTCGATCTTCGCGAAGCCAAAATCGCACACTTTTAAAACTGCGTCTTCGGTTTTATCGACGTAGAGAAGGTTTTCTGGCTTGAGATCACGATGCGCGACATTATGGACAACATGAAGATGATAGACAGCTTGTACAATTTGTTTTGTTGCTTTGACTGCTTCTCTTTCCGTAAAATGATGATGATCAGCAATGCGTTGAAAAAGCTCACCACCTTTCATTTTCTCCATAATAAGAATGAGCTTTGCTGTGGCATCAGATTCGCCCGGAAACTAATGTGAATTGTTATTCAGAATCAAGGCAGAGAATGTACTTTTAACTCATTGCAGAATACTTCGTGAAGCTGAACGACGTTTTCGTGGCCCATTACTGTTGAGTGCATTTCTACTTCTGCCCGAGCTCGTGGACGATCCCGAATCACCTAAAAATCATCATTTTTAGAAACCGCTATTCGAAAAGGCTCACTTTGACAGCGTAATCATCACCGGTGGATCTACTCTTCGCACTCCTGACAGACCCGTTCATTCCACAACCAAGTCTCTCTCCCCAATCAACCATGTATTCATCCGAAACCGATTCATTTGAAATAAACATTTTTCCTAAAAGGTGTAATAAAGCCTCTGCATTCACCTTGTTTTTGCTTTTTCAAAGATTAGGTCTAGTAGTTTTTGCGGAATACTCAGGAATAACTGCAAATTACAGATAGGTAAGATAGTGTCACTAATAGTTGAACGTAAAGTATCACAATGTTAAAAACTTGAAGGCTACAAAACATAAATATATTGTTTAATAAGTTGGATCAGTTTTCTCTATAAACATAACATAACGAGTACACAGAGAAGAGGGCGTAAATTTATGTACAGTTAATAAACATTGAAGACAGATTTTGAAGTTGGCTCTTTCAAATATAAAAGTAAGGAAAATGAACTTAAATAAGTAGAGTTAAGAAAAATTGTCAAGTCTAGTTTTGGTGTTAGTTATAGAGATCGTTGAGGATTTCGGATTGGTATCCATCCTGGGCGCGCTCCTCATCCTTGATATCAACAGTTTTTAGTCGTTTTAATCGTCGCCGCTAGAATTTTGCATAAGTTTTGATGAATTCAAATTAATTCAGTTGAGGCTTTGATTTCGTCTAAGTTTGGGTACCCTTGGAGGACGACGCAATCTTGATGCTGCGGCATTTTCTTTCAGGAGAACTTTGGACTGGATTTTCCGAAGAAGAGACATTTTCATTTCGGGAGAGTGACTCCGATTTGCTAGAAGTTTTTAGTTTATCTTACAAGCCCGATATTTCTTACGATCTGCCATCGATTTGGCTGAGGACATGGCGGAGTAATCTCCAAGATTGTCATCGGACGAGTTCGAAGAATTAATCATGAACGGCCGGTTTCTATTTCGAGATGAGCGCCCTGGGGAATGCAGACTAACAACGTTGAGTGATGGTGGAGGTGTTCTGGGAGAGTCTTCGGAAATATTTCCCGAATCCTTTGCGTGTGAGATATGCGACAGATTGAGTGGCTTCAGCGAACTTGAATAATAAGATTTATTTTTAAATATTTAAAAGGAATTTACGTTCGTCCATTTTTATTTTGCATGAGAGAATGAGCTGGCATGGATCCTCTTCTACTTGGCGAAGATGATTGAGGTCGAGGATCATTTGTCCACATGAGTGCTTGAAGATCACAACAACTTCTGGTCCGATTGATAACAGGAGCGTCAGATGTATCGGAAGCAGCATCAGTAACAGGCCGCACTGTATCTTCTATGATATCTTCCATGCTTTCTGACTCGCGAAGTGTTGATTCGCGGAACCGTAGATCTTCCAAATGACAAGACATTTCCGAGTCTCTTCTATTGCGACTCCCGTAGCTTGCGATTCTTTTTCTTTGGTGAGGTTTATTGATGGATATTCCAGAGGTACGTCGCAGAGCTCTGCAGTCCCAGGATTATTGGACAAAGCAAGCACAAGATCACGGACTTTGCCAACTTCTTCAGAGAGTTCTTCTTTTATTTGGTTATACTGTATAACTGTATAACTTATACATAAGTTGCTTATGAATAATAAGTAATGATTATTCGATTTAATGTTTTCATATTAAAAACCAGTCCTATAGTCACTCTTAGTTGGCTGTCTCTTATTTCAACATCATCCAAATGCGATGATATTTTTCTAAGCTTCTCCGCGTTCGTCTTCACTTGTTCCTCGAATCGCTTATTATCCTCACGTCTCTTCATCCGTTCGTAGTCATCGATAAGCTCTTCTTCCCAATCATGAAGATTTTCTTCTTCAAAATCTGCCAGAAAGAGTTTGAGCCCTCGATCAGCTTCGAATTTTCCTTTTGTTTTTGAGCAAAATATCTTGTCGATGAGCATTTTCAAATGGCTTATGAAAATAAAGGGTGGTGGGAAAATTGGATGCGCCTCGTACTGCATGATCACTTCGTATCGCTGGCAGGCCCATATTTGATGCGATTCCACTTTTACACGTGCGAAAGTGTTGTTGAATACAGCGATGAGTAGATTTATCAGCAAGATATTCGCAACGAGGAGATACAGTGTATTGAAAACAGGAACAACCCAAGCACCTGGGTTTACACCTGGGATGAGATCGCCAGAATCGTCATAGTAAGGATCGATTTCGGGGGCATAAACCTCGCCATACAACATAAAATATGGCTTGTGAAAAACTCCCCAAATAGTTTGCCAGGTTAGCGATTCACTTCTGTCGTGAATAATCGATTGTCTTGAAAGTCCAAAAGAGATCAAAACGACTGCCAGGATTGTTATGAAAGAGCTCATATCAATGAGCATCTTTCCAGCCATGGTAATGTAAGGACCAATAGTTTTATGAACTGATAAGAATTTGAGAATGCGAATCCACCAAAGAACAACTGATGTGACACAGAGAACGCGGCCATATGCAAGTTCTTCGTATGCTTTGCGAAGTTCATCAGATGAGTTCTTGCTAAGCGCTCGCTCGTAGAATTCTCCACAGGATGTTTCATTTCCGCCAAGCGTTTCTTTATCCGTAAACACTTGTAGACGAAGTCCAAAGCCAAATAGAAAAGTGATTATTGCGAAGGTTTCAAGTAAATTCCAAAATTTTGAATGCCAGTGCCGAAATTTTGACCAAACTCCACGCGAAGTCGAAATTGATATTGAACGGATGTTTTCAATTGCAAAAGTGACAACATAAGATACCACAAACCATTCAACATCAGGAATAGTCCATGGGCACATTCTGACCAGAACTGTATAACTGATCGAAAGAATGAACACAACGTACATAATAATATTGAACCAATATTTCGTTATTGGTGCGTTGAAGTACTCGTAGATCTTTCGCGTGAGTCCAAGATCGTTTGATCCTGGCGTTTCTGGCGTCAGGACCATTTTTGACGTGAAGATTGGCTCAGGAGGATGCTCTTGCGTAGCCGACGGCTCCAAAAGAAAATGAACCTTTTGATCTGCGTCTTTTGTCGATTGAGTACCATTTGATCCTCGAATACACCCTCGGCTAAATTGGTCTCGTCTGGCACCAGCGCTCGTCACCAAAGAGCTTTTTTCTTCTGAAGCGATGTTACGTGAGCCGAATCGTTTTTCTTCATCTGAACTATTGAAACAATTTAAGAGTATTTGGCTTCATGAAATGGTACCTAGATGTAGACGAAGTGGATGACGTGGTCGAGGTTTCATTGTGTCTGGTTGAAAAGCCATGATCATCTTCGCACTCGTCTAGATATTCCTGAAGAGTCTTTGGGATTTCTCTCAGTTGTTCGGACGTTTTGAACTTGATGAATTGTATGACATTACGAAATGAAGGAAAAGGATGAAGAATGGTTGTGAAGAGCGGCCATAGGGTAACCAGAGATATTGGAACCTTTATATTGGAATTTCTTCTTATATCCAGCGCTCCCATCCATAAATCAGTGATGATATTCTGTACACAAGGATGCGCAATCAGGTCTCGATGCTGCGCGAGAACTGCTAAAGAAAGACAAGTGTGACGAGACCAAGATTTTAACTCGTATGTCAGAAGTTGATAACACATCTTGTCGCTGTCTTTGTACCCAAGTTTAAGAATGTCAAGGGCCTTTTGTTTGAACTGATCCGAGTATAGTCTCATTGTTTCAATTTCTTCTTGATTAAGGTCATCGTCGTCGGCTTCTTGTGCCATCCGTCTGTATAGTTTCATAGCTATGAGAGCTTTGGCCATGGCTTCTTCGCCCTTTTGCCACATGAAGATTGCCATTTCTTGTCGCTTCATAAGCACTGCCCAGATGAGAAGCTCATGAAAAGGGTTCTTGAAGTTTTCATTGTTAGAAGTCTGAGACTCTGTTTGCTTGTAGTATAAATGAAACTTCTTTCGTGTGTAGTTTGACCTGTATGTTCCGCCCATCAGCCCTTCAATGACCAGACCGATTTGAATGAGATTTATTCTTCTTGCGCCCTTTGGCACTCTCTTCTCTCGCGAAACATCGTCAAGTAAATATTTCAAATGCTGTGGAAGGTAATCAGGTTTATCCGCATTGTAGAGATCCTCTAGACGCTTTATTGTGAGAAACTTGTGCATAGACACACCATGGTCCATGAAAAGCTTCACAAATTCCACTTTATCATTAACAAGTGCTTCCTCTAGCCGCTTTCTTAGTGACCCAACTGGGAAATTTTTCGCGTACGGAAAGGCAAAGACATGACTTCGTGCTATGTCAGGTCGGTCCCAAGACATCGCCATTTTCAGCCAGTTATCAGGATCCGTCTTCTTTTTCTCCGCGCTAGTTGAAAATAACGATGTGAGAATGGCGTAGTCCAAGTTACGGGTCGCTACGTTGTCAGTTCCATGCAAGTCCATCCAGAAAATTTTGATGAGACGCTTGAAAGACATCATCCTTGTCAAATTCAAAATCGTTCCCCTGTTAAACTGATCCGCATTCTTGTGCGAAGTGAGAAGTTCTTCCATTTGAGCGCGATTCTCCTTTGATATATCGCCCTTGCTATCTGACAAGTGATACGCATACGCAATCAGATCGGCCGCGTTGCGTATAGATTCATTCTTCTGCGCGGGAACACAGACTACAACGGGAATTCCCTCCATTACTTTCTTCAATACTGTTTCTAAAGTTGTTCGGTCACCCTCAATGATCAAACAAACCATCGGGACGTTATGTTTCTTCACAAGCTCTTTTTCGATCGCTCGGCGAAAGCGTATCTCCGTCCTCCATTTTCCCACTGAGCCATTATCAACCATGAGAAAGTGAGTGTGCGCGGCGTTGAGAACTGCTCCCTTAGAAAGCGGGTCGGCCATGGTTTGATAAGGGACCGCCCCGGTCTTGAGTTTATCGTCGTTTTGTAAATCGTCGCGATTGTCTACTACTCCCCATGGCATAACTCCAATGGCCGAAACTCGACCACGAGCGTAGAGTTGATGCTCGGTCAGCGCTTGACCTACAAGTTCGCCGATTCCACCTTCGCTTGACAGCCCAATCGACATGATCCAAGCGTCTGTCGTTCGCGTCGCCTTGATCAACCCAGATATCAATAGCTGCCGCTGGCCTGCTGTCAGATCCAACCGCTTTTCAGAGCCATGAACAGTGATGACGAGTTTTGGCAGCTCCATTTGCCACTCTTTTGTTAACAAACGATGAACATTCGCTCCGCTAGTGCTATCCGACAGTCTTATAAATTGCGCCTTGTCTCCTTCTCCTGTTCCTTGGAATTCCAGAGTGCCAACGGCATTTGTTCGGAATTCTTTCGTATTCATCCGTACACTCCACTCGGCTTGCTCCTCTGATTTCCAGTGGAGCGACACAAAAGCAGATTGATCTCCCTGCAACTCTTTGTAACTATCGGTACTAAGAGGGTCATTTTTAGTTACCTGTATATGATACTTATGCGCGCGACCGCAACTGCAACGATGGATATCTCCGGAAGGCGAGGGAACAAATTTAACACACTCTCTCTGCTTGAAAACGTTATAGACCCAGTCACTCGCTGCGGGAGCGCGGTGAGAGCGATTTCGATTGTGCCGCCGATTACTCCTGGGAGAGAAACTGTGAGGTTATTGACGTAAAGGAAGAATTTAAAATGTAAGCTAAATGTCTGATAGACAGACGGACGAAGAGATATTAGTGGGTTTCCAGACAAGTTCAATCATTTTTAAAGAACTTTCGGAAAAGAGTCTATCTAATGATGATTCAATGATGCAACTTTTATGTGAGGTTTCATCTTTGATTGAATTAAAATTTATTAATTTTTAATTATTTTAGTGCTAACTGTATAACGAAGTGCTCTCAGAAAGGGTTAGCTCTAATACCACAGATTGAACTTACGCCATATATTCCGAAAAAGCAAGGATCTCGATATGGTAGAATAACGTCTTGGATAAAGTAATGTTTTAGACAGTTTAACGCTCTAGCAGTTACCTGAAGGGAGTGCTTTCCCCAAAAGAGTAATCCATGGCGAGTTACGTCCAACTGAAATCGGTTACAGACGAACGTCGTATTTGCTGCGATAATTTTAAATATTCTAGAGACAGTGGTGAGCAAGGAGCTTTCCTAGCCTAGGAAAGAGTAGTCGGGAAATTCTCCTGACGTCTGCGATTCAGAAGGTTTCTCTGCCTCCGAGGCGGAAGCTGATTCCCACGTAGCGAGGATCCAAATGGACTGCAACTGGCAGCTTGTGCATAATAAGCCAGCCGAGTGAGCTGAATTTCTCCGATTTTTAGTCACTGAAAAGTATAATATTAAATACCTGACTTTGTTGGCGATCGTTAGACCGGGAATTGACAAGGTTCTCTGCATACAGGTACGATCAGCCAACAAAATCACCTTCTGAAGAATTCAGTCTTTTGCGCTCTAGTAATTTTACATGAATTTGAATTTGAAATGAATTGGTACGAATATCAATAATAATGTAAGAGCATTATGGTGAGATATGTGAAAGACTCTCTGGTAATTATTTATGAATATGGGTTAGATTTCGTCGTAGCACGAATTGATGACTTCATCGTAATCGGAAGGTGAGGAGGATTCGGCCGCTGCAGGTTGCTCGTCGTCGATGATGATCCAAGAGTTGGAAGGTGAGGAAGACTTGGGAGTAGACAGTGAGGAAGTTGAAAGTGCGGAAGTTATAATTGGGATCGTGAATTGTGCTGAACAGGTATTTTTAGGATAACGAACTGTTTTTGATTAAATCTACTCACATTGGCTTGAAGTGGAACTTTCTGTTGAGTTTTCTTCGTCAACCTTAAAACAGGCTTTGTTTATTGCTTCGGCAATCTCTTGTGCGTTTATTTCTCTCTGGTTAATATCTGTCGTCGATTTTCCAATAATCGGTAATTGTTTCTCTGCGTCTTGGGAAACAGGGCTCTCGTGCGGAGGAATGCAGGGAATATCGTTTTTCTCTTTCTTTTTCTTCTTGATTTGCGGTTTTATTTTACGTTCGATGATAAGTGTGTCTGTGTCTAGCGGGGTGGGACTGGGAGTGTTCAACTTTGAACGCTCTTTTTCGCCCTCATTGATTTGCCCCGCTTTCTCGTCTTTTTCGGTGCTCTCATTGATGAAAATCTCATCGTCGAAAATCTCTCGTCGTATCTCGCGCGATAAGCTCTCTGTCACTTGCTACAAGGAAATTCTTTAGAGGATTGCAACCAGTAGCTTCCGCTGCTCGTTAACTTCGAAATTAATAAAAAATGACGTCGCAAAGTTTACAGAAGAAAGTTCAAAGAGCAACTGATCTGAGTCAGAAATCTGGAATGATCCTTTTACCTTGACTTTATTGAACACAGGCTGTTTCGATTTGGAAACCTGTCTCTTGATCTGCGAGAAAAAGCCGCGCGCAGCACTGAAAGCTTTATCCAAATCGACCGTTTCTGATTCTTCGATTCTGGGCTTGGGTTCCGGTCGATGGACAGATTTCCGAGCGGCGATTGATTTCATCGCCTTTCCACCAGAAATAACGATAAATTCGGAGCCACCGTAGCCGCTCACGTTCTGGACTGACCCTGAGATACTGTAGAGTACTGGTGAATGGTCTGATTCAAGAATGTTTACAGCGCAAAGGGATGATTTCGTGTGGGATAGAATACGTGTAGAAAGATAGAGGAGATTGCCTGGTCGAAATCCAGACTAAAACACTCATATTTTAGACCGATTGTCAGTGATTCAATCACTGATTGATGATCGAGAATAGTACCAATGAGAGCTTAATGTTGAACATAATAAATATTCAAAATTCTCGCATCTCAGACTGCTTTTATATAAATCAATATACTCCGGTCGCAACTGGTTCGGTAACCGTAAAATCACCTGATAACCCATTGTTGTTTCCCAGAGTGCGTCGCCTTCTTGGTTTATCATTCTGATACAACCGCTTGTGTCGGTGAAAATGACATTGGCGCTGCGATCAAAACAGGCTCCGGTGATTGTGGCGGAGAATTGAGGCACTTCGGCGATGATTTCAACAGGCTCATTTCTTTTGAGATGAGAATAGATTCTCAATTCAACTTTACTAACAGTTGCTTCTTAATTACTTACCATTTGTACAGATAAGAATATCATAAGACAGGTTCATCTCCAATTGAACAACATATGATTTGACATGGGAAAGTTTTCGACTCCGAAATCCAGCGGAAGTCAATTCTCCATAGTAAATCACCTGCGCCGAGCACCAGGTAAAGCAACTCTTCTGAATCGAAATACAATCGGCAACAGTTTTTAGCGGGGTCGTTTTCGGAGCTCTGAAAATAGACAGAATAGATGAGAATTGATCGTTTTCAATTTTAAAATTCAAAAATGCAAGCTAACCGAAGCAACGACCCAAGCTCCGGCAACTGGGTTAAATAAAGCCCGTTCTTCGTTGAAAGCAATAGGTTTGTCTCAAGTCCAGCTTGGGAAGCATCTATTTTCAAAATTGGCGAATTAAATTTGAGGCGTTTTGTGGAAGGCGCCCCGCTAGCAAGACATTCGCCCAGGCCATCCTCTTCGACAAAAAGCAAATCTCCGAGACTAGTGCCGTAGAACGTCTTTCCTTTGTATTGTTTGCAGCAAATCAGCGTCCCGTTAGGGAGCCCGGGCACGATTGTCAGCGACATCCCATTCTTGAAAGGTTGAAAATAAGCTTCAGTAATGTCGGTAATACATGTTGTTAAATTAAATCCAGGAAAATTAACGTTTGTGCAAATTTATGAACTTATCGGAAGGCGCGACTAGAATCGACCATTGTCGATGAGAATTCTTCTGCGTTTTCTTGATAATAAAATCTTGCTTGAGCATTTCTTCGCTCCAGTATTTAATGATCTTCTCAGCTGGCTCCTTGTCAATCTCACTTTGCGGCGTTTCCTCAATCAATCTTCTTTCTACGTGTGGAGGAGTCCTAAAAATCTCTGCCTAGCGTTTAAATGGACTAAAACGTACCCATAAGGGACGATAAGTTCTATTTTGACGGTCATCTCAGCCTGGGGCGGGAAAGGACGGCCCGACGCTATTCGGTTCTCGTATTGTTGAACGACTTGGCGGACGCAGCGAGCCAGAAACTGATCATCCTCGTGAGCTCTTAACTCAATTTAAATCAAATCAATTCAAAAGGGACTTTATGACCACTTCTCCAGTGGAGAAATAAAGTTTGCCTTAGTTCCTTATTTACGAGTCGCAAATTCCTGACACGCCTATTTTCAGACAATCAAGTAAATACGCAGTTTAATTATCGACTGACTATTTTCAGTTATAAATTTTACCTGACAGAAGCAGCGGCATAATTAGGAGCCTTCTTCTTCTCCATTTCCTCTCTCCTCTTCTCCGCCTTTTCAATCTTTTGCCCTTTGTCCGTGATCAACTCGATTCTCCCTTCGCGATTTGTATGGGTGGAGATTCTCCCGTAGTCACCTCTCTTGATTGCCTTCGCCAGATCTTCAGATTTCTTGTATTCCTTCATCATGTGTCGTTCTTCTTGCTTGTGGCTCATGATGTGGTGGCGCTTTCCTTCTCGCATGGCGATTTTCGAACGACGGGATTTTTCAGAAAACATTGCGTTACGGAAAGATTTCTTACTGTATTTGGTTTTCAGTTATTTCAAGTACAAAAATAGATTATTTAGCAAAAACCAGTAGCTGAATAAAAATTGATCTGCGCCAATCTCACCAAAGAGCTCATCCTTTTCTCTTCCAAGTTGGAGATTTCGTCCTTTTGAATTTCTTTCCCGCTGGCTTTCTCAAGCGCGTCATATGATTGGCGCGGAGAATCTCCAGAGCGCTGTTCTCCTTGAATTCAGACGTTGACAAGACGCTTCGCAAGGTTAAAATTTATGGTTCCAGATTTGAAAACTGTCTGTTATCTTTGTTTATGCAGGACGTCAAAATCACAGCTATTTGATAATTATCAATAAGATTTCTTGTGTTCCAGTGAAAACATTTCATGTTTAAAATAGACAAGTTTATCCAGTAACTTTCTAGAATACAGCGATTATGTCTGAATATATACCTGTTTTTAGCTACGGCGGCCGGCACCCGGGTGGCCCGTTGGTTAGCGCCCAACGCTGCGACTCGCCGAAGCGCGAGTTCGAATCACGCCTCTGTCAGGTCTCCTGACTCTCGAGACGAGTGGGTTGCCCCACGTCACTGAACGGGGAAACCCGGCTACTCAAAAACTCGCTCCTGTAGAGTGGAGTTTCTCGGAGCTAAGTCCCCGAGTTTTTGTCTATCACCGCTGCTGATTTCATAAAATACCTACATAATATTTGCATGCGTTATTTACGTATATTTATCGTTTATATGATATAAATTGTATCGTCGATAGTGGCAAACAATCAGAAGCTCATTGTTTAAAGAATGGAACGCCCGTGATTGGCGTTTCCTTGCCAGTGTGTGCCCAAAAGGAAAGAATAAAAGTACGCCGAGAAAAAAGCTCAAACCGAGACAGTGGATAAGCGGTTTGATCGGGTTCGATTTTTTTATCCCTTACAGATGGAGCTTTACACAGTGCACCAGACACGGTTTTCAACCAACACGCCATTTTTCCTTCCTGTACTTTTTGTGAAGAGAAATTGGCAAAGCCATGGATAGGTAGTGATCCCGGTGAACTTTGGAGCTTTTTCTTACATAAATAATTCTAGACCAACGACCGGGCAGTCTCGATTTTCGGGGCTGACGCTAGACACTCAGTTCAGTCGGCAGACATCGCTGGCACCAAAAGAGCTCGAGGGAATCTTTACTTTTGAAGGAGTCTCGCACGACTTACTGCTCTCAAATGGGAAGCTTTATTGGGAGCCAATTACGGTTGATATTCCAGGAGTGGAGGCACCGATGGGAGAAAAGTACTGCGTTGAAATTGAGAAATTCGTGATTGGAGTGCGCTTCAGAAAAATCAAAACTGTTATTCGAGGACAAGCGCGGTCGATTGTTACAGGAAGGGCTTTTATAAACTACTGGTTGAAATGCGATAGAGTCGAAAAAGCCAGATTAGGATTCAACTTGAGAGTAATTGCGGACGATGAAGAGTTCGACTTCACCTTTAACAACGATACAGAAGAACTTGTTCGAACCTGGGCAAGCGCTATCCTCAAAATCATTCGGAAACGCCCTTTTATTTCTAAAAATCATGCAAAAGTTTTTATCGAAAAGTCCGACGTAAAAGATCTTCCAACGATTCTCAACTATTTTCATTCCGCTGGCTTGAAATACACGATCTGCAAACTTGCTGACTTCAAATTTGTACTTCCCTCAGAAACAGCCATCTTGATCGGGACGGATAAATTTTTGCAGTTTGCCTTTGACTACAGGTATGAATAGAAAATAAAAACAAAGCGACAGTGACATCCTTTACAGCTTCCCAGATTCAAAAGTGGCATTTGTCCCGACGAATCGATCGAAATTGAAGTCCCTCCTCTACGATCACCTTCCTATTCAAGATGTACCAAAGAAGCTTCTTTTTCGAATCTCAAAACTCTTGGCGTTGCATCAGCAGAAATCGCAATCGGAAATTTGATTTCAAAGAAGACATTTTTCACTTCGCCGCCACACCTGTTTCTCTTTTGAAACGAAGTTTTTACTGACTGGAATGTACATAAATGGTAAAAAAACTCATGATTTTTCTTAATTTGATCGAAATTCAGACGGAGATGAGCACAGTGTCCGCGTTTCTGTCAATGATTTGTCTGTTTCCACTTCTTCCGTCGGTTATTCAATCTGCTTTCATTCATCAAAAAATGCCCTTGCCGACTTTTTCAGCACGACCTGGAATATGGCCGTTGGAGCTAGTTTGACAAGAGAACTCACAATTGACTGTACTGAATTTGACCTTACTCTCTGCCAAATCAATGGAACTTACAGTTGGTCGTTTGGAGGGATCAATTTGGACGAGAATGTGTCAAGAATTCGAATAAAAAGCGACCGATCTGTTGATATCTTTTACTGAAAATAAAATTTTCTTTCAATTATTTTTGTTTTCTCTAGAACTAACTGTGATATGATGATGTTTTCATTCTTATGGGTTCAGTTTGAAATCGAGAGGTTTGGGTGAAAATGAGGGCGTCGACTGTTGAAATTGCCGATCTCCAAGAAATCATCAATCTTATCGATGGAAAAACTCGAGGAGTCTATTCCCACAAAAGATGTCAGAGTAAGTAGTTGTACATTATTATAAGCAATTAGTCTAATAAGGCCCTAACATGATTTTCTAGTCAGAAGACTTGTCGAAACAACCCAGCTTTCTTTGAAAGTAATTGAAGATAACAACGACAAAATAATTGGATTCGCTGCTTTCGACCTACAGGCAGATTTTGAATCGAAAAAGATTTCCAGTGATCTTTACAATCCGCAAAGTGTTCTTGAGCTGATGCTCTTCATGGCGGAAGAAGATCATGAGAATGTCGACGGAATTGTATCTTGTATTTTGTCCGCTGTTTTCAAAAGGAAGGAGTTTGTTTGATTAGCTAACTTACCTGGTTGAAAGCTTGATTCACCAAAAACTCCTGGAAGATGCCCTTTTATCCACCATGTGATCGTAACGAAAAACGACTCGCGACTATCATCTGTATCTTCTAAAATCCCCAACTCGCCCTACTCAATCATCAACCGCGATGACTTCGTCCCCACTCTCTTCATTCGCCCTGGAAAAGAAGAAGACAACGATGATGTCGCTGCCGTGTACAAGAATAACGACCAGCTCAAGATGATCTACGGCGACTTTTTCTACACTGAAATGGTTGAATCAGTTGATGAGAGACACAAGGTGCTTGTTGCTGATGTAAATGATATCGCAGTTGGTGCGATTGCAATTTCATCGAAGATTTCCCTTGATCAATTACAATGTACGCATCACATCGGTGGATTCAAGTAAGTTTTTGTAACGTTTTATTCTCCAATTTTAAATGAAAGGAAACTGGTCAGAATATAAAATAAGGGGCGGTGATCACTTATTGTAGGAAAAGAGGTGCGAAATCGAGCGTCGTTCTTTTTCTTCTTTTCGAATCGTTCTTTCGCTTCCTGTCGCTCAATTTCAGCTTGCTCTTCAGCGTTGATGTTGATGTTGCCCATACAGTCGCTGAGAGTCATGATGTTGGAGTACTCCTCTGTATCGGGAAGACGAACTTCTCTCACCATTCCCGAAGTAGTGCCTGGATTTATATATTCAGGGTCGTTCTCGGTCGCATTGACCTTGCTGATTGATGGCTTCGCCGGCTGTCGCATAAGACCAGCGGGTTGAGCTGAATGAATTGCATTCTTAAGCTGCCCGGCTTCTTGAAGCACGTCCTTGATGACCAGGTCTTCGGGCTTTGGTCGGAAGGGCTTGTCTTTGAGAGAGTGAGCAAACTCAGCAAAAGCCTGAGATGCTTCGCTTCTTTTTCGCTTTTGACAAAGACAGTCGGAATGTCATCCTTCAATATTTGAGTGAGAAAGAGTTACTTTTGAAAGTTTCTTACCGAGTCAGAAGTCGAAAAGATAGGCTCAGAGTCGGAGTCCGAACTCTCAGAAGATGAATCTTCGGCGATAACGGGTGGCTCTCGATACATAACTTCTGTCTTCGTTGGCTGCGGGATAGGAAGGTTTTCTTTCTCGTCCTCAATTTCCATCGCAACAGGAGTTTTCGGTTTGAGTTTTTCAATAGCAATTGGGGAGGCTCGAGTTGGCGTCTTGAGAACAGCCTTCTCCACCGTGATTGGAGTTTTGATCGCGGTTGGGGTCTTTACTTGCTGTGTTTCCAGTAGAACAGGTGATTTACGAGCGGATCTCTCCTGCAAAGAAATCGGTGTTTTGAGGTCAGCTGGAGTTTGCTTCTCCACATGTTCTTCGAAAACCGGCGGAGCAATAGTTTGCTTGACCGTTCGTCGTATTGGGATCTCTTTGAGTGTTTCAGTGACCTGACCTTCTTCTTTGATAGAATCCTATTAGAAAATTTTCGAGAAACATCTAAAAAAGTCTTTACCTTGAGCTTCGTTTGTCGACGAGGGGTTCTTTTGGGAGTACTCAGGGCTTCGGTAGCTTTTAAAGCAGCAGCGCGGGTGCTTCGTCGGCGCTCGGTCATTACGATTTTCTAAATTCTATCAGATTTTACTTCCATTTCGAAACTCAAATTATTACCCGCGAACGATATGTTTCTCTGGGGGATACTGCGTATAAATCAAAATCTCTAGGAAGAGTAGAAAATAAACTCCGTCTAGAAATATTCGGTGATTTTCACTGGCCGGATTCCAATCTGGAGATTCAATTTTAAAGGAACTCCAGGGGCGCCAAATCAAATTCGAACCATTTTCGTCCTTTTAGCACATCTGGCCGGTTCGAGCTGATATGAATCCGTAAAATCAGACCGCAATCAACCTACTTTAGTGGCCTCACGAATTACAATGCAATTGCCGTTCAACTCTTTGCGATTGCAGACAAATATGAAGATCGGTCCGTTGACCTTCTCAAGGGAGCTTTTGAAGCTTTCCCGGGAGCGAACTGGGCGATTTTGACCGTTCCTCGACAAGTTCAGCATTTTCCACTTCTTGATTATTTCCAAAGGTACTCATTTAACATCGGACCAAATCTCAATCACTTATTTCAGAGCGACTCCACGAAGTTCATTCACAACAACTGAGGTCTACATTGTCCATCGTGCAGTAATCCACGAGATCGCATCCGTGCGACAGGCGGCCGAAACTGACTTTGAAGCAATCGAGAGCCTTGCTCCAGAATTTTACAAGAACATGAAAATGTCTCTGATAAATGGACAAGGTCTCAACCCAACTCCATCGATTGGCACGCCCGAACTTCTATCGACGTCATATTTGATTTTCGCCGGCGAACACGCCGTTGGCGGTGTCATCATCGCCGCCGAGGATAAAATCGACGCTCTCAGAGCGAACTTCGAGATTGAAGATTTCGTAAACTTGGACTTGATCGAACGAAGAGAGAATCACAAAGTCCTGTACTGCTTCGTCGCTCCTGGTTTTCATTCTCTTGGAAAATTCATGCTCTCAGAAGCGATGCGACTTTCAGGAGCGATATGTTTGTACCAGCCCGTTGTTGGCCGCGATTATCCAAAGAAAGAGTTTCGAAAAATTCTCATTAATTATTTCGAACCGACTCATACTGAGTTTTATTTTGAAAAACTCACTAAAAGTCACCAGCAACCCGTCAGATGCGAACAGTACCGAAAAGAGAAAAGATCCACTTCAATGTTGAGCGATTGGAAGAAAATGCTCCCTGCCCCGATGCCCTTCTTGATTGTGATTTTGGACTTTTGATTCTGCCCAAGAAGCTGATTCAAACAGATGTCAGAATTTGTTCACATTCGATCGTCATCGTTGGCGCTTCCGATACCGGCATCGCGGCAATTGAAGAATTAGGCACGGTTTGAAATTTTCCGGGTAAAAAAACTGGGTTGTTTCTTCCAATTTTTAACCAAACAAAAAGCAATGAACAAAGGTCTTATTTTCAATAATTTGACGCTCGTCTCGTCCGTATTCGAAGATGATCACGAAGTCACGCTTGGCCATAAAAATGTAAAGGTCGAAGAAAGACAGATTAACAACTTCGGCAGGAAGAAATACGGACTGAACATATGCCTGAACCGTGTCCGTGCTACTCTGGCTGGAATAAATACTAACGATCGAAAAATTATCCTCAGAGATGGATCCGAGTTACCTTATGATTTACTTGTCCTCGCGACTGGCAAGCAATACAGTGGACTTGTCGACAATCCGATTCGTGGAGTAGAAGGTCTAGCATTTAGCGAGATCGTCAACGACATCAGCGAAGGAGACGGCATTTTCGTCAGAAGTAACAATATCAATGCTTTAGGATTTATTCAGCAACTTTTGGAACGTAAAATTCAGCCAAATCAGGTAATCAGCAGCGAGTTTCACTTTCCTAATGGTTCTTTAGATAACGCTTGCATGTGAAACCGACTTGGAAGAAATTTTCGACCTTGGTGATATCAACAAGGAGCGCAAACTCACGAATGGACCAGAATTGGACAAGGTCGCTGCTCGAGTTCGAAACGAGATGGAAGAACTTGGAGTCAATTTGATTGAGAATGTCAAAGAATACGAAATCCTCAAGAATGATGGAAAGAACATTTCATCCGTCTGCGTTGGCGATACCGAATATGAATGCAAGCATTTGGTCGATATGCTCGAGAAGTCAGTCTCGAAGACTGTTTTCAGTGCGCTCAACGATGCCTGTCTAGTCTACGATGGCGCCCTTGTCATAGACAGTACTTTCTGCACATCGAATGAAAATATTATGGCCGCTGGACCAATGACCAAATATCAGCGAAGACTTTACGCAGATGATTGGGTTCACGAGAAATTCAATTCAGCCGAAGTTGGCAAGGCCGCTGCTGCATTGATTTTGGATCGTGTTCTGGGGCGTATTCCTAAGCCTGATGTATCTGTTCCGGTTTTCAAGGCGCCAGTTGTCACTTCTTGCAAACTTGTTGGCGGAAGACATTATCTAAGGTAACAGAAAGATCCTATATGTTTACTATGCATTTTTAGTTGCAAAGCGACATATTTTGATCGACTTGCTGATGGAATGAAACAAGGACAAGCTCGTTGGATGGTCACTTCAAACGACGAATGCGACTCAAGAATTCATTTAAGTAAGTTTTTCTGTCCCTAGATGACTTTAAATTATTATTCAAGATCCATTTGGCGTCGTCGATGGAATGATCTTTGTCTCTCGAGATCCTCTCAACGTCGAGAATATCATCAGAATTTTCGGCCTCCACGAAAAGTACCTCAAGGATCTTGTTTCTCGATTTGACGAAGAGCTCATTCCTTGCCTCTATGAACACATTACCAGTCCCTTCTTCGATGTTATTTCGCACGATAGATTCAAGGACTTGGTCCAGCAGCTTGAAGATCTTATCCCACTAGGTAAATAATCTTATCCTCTGTCAATTAAAAACCGGTCTAGATAATGAAGACATCAAGCCAGGAACTTCGAAAGAGCTCAAAGAAAAGTACTCGGAAGATATCGACCGGACTATTTTGAAATTTATCAAGGACAATCAACAGCTTCTGCCTATGTATCATCTTCCTTGAGATATCTTCATTTGTATTCTGCTTCTACTCTATCTATCTATTCTCACTATTTTTATATTCAATAAAAATTTTTATTTTTATAATCACGGTGGTTTTATTTTGTTTTAAGGATGTTAGGATAAGGTTAAGGATACAAGTTTTTGACTGAGATAATATTCATACATTTTGCAATACGTAACAAAACATTCAGCGTAAATTATTCTTGATTTTCAAACACAAGAGTCCTTCCAAGGCTTCGCATGCTATCTTCAATTCTGCGCATGTCGTCAGGTCCTTCGTAGGAATCAACAATATCATTGACTTCGAGGCATAAGTTTCGAACGTTTTCGTCGTCATGGTTCTTGATCATGTGCTTTGTCATCATAGATTGAATTTTACGCAGAGTTTCTTCAAAAAATCGAATGTCTTCGTTTCTTCGACGTTCTTGTTCCGCTTTCTCGTCCATAGCTTGCTTATACTCTTCGAAGAACTTGTCTTTTTCTTTCAAAGCTTTATCTTTTTCTTCGATGAGCTTATCCTTTTCCCGTTCGATCTTTTCCTTCTCAGCCATAAATTCTTCAGTCATTTTTCTGTTTTCTGCATCCTTTTGTTCACTCTAAAAATAACTTGAATACGAGGTATTCGACTTTTCAGTATTTCTTACCATTTCTTTGTAATCCGATAGAACTTGGATAAGGTTTTCGACTTCCTTGTGATGCTGTTCATCCTTCGTTTTCGCCTTTTTAGCGGCATCTTCCAGCTCTCGACGCTTTCTCTCAAGTTCCAACATCTACGTATCGGTAAAAAAGAACGTATATCTTAAAATTTAAGATTCTTAAATAATTACCTTCTTCTGGTGTTCTTTTCTTCGGATTTCTTCTTCTTCGCGCATTTTATCAATAAGTTCCCTTTCGCGTTCAGCGTTCTTTTCAGCTTTTTCGTTTTCGATTTCTTTCCTCTTGTTATCACTTTTAATCCCTTCTGCAATAGCTGTAACAGCTAAAAAGTTTCAATTTTTTATCTCTATCAATTTTTTACCAGTAGCAATAATTTTCGCACTCATACCGAAAAAACGGGAAAAAATCCAGTTTCCTTTCTTCTGGTTAAATAAATTTCATTCAATGAAACGAAAACGGTATTGAGTTTTATACGAATGCAAAGGGTGTTTCGGGGTCAACGGTCGGGGCACTGAGTATTCTTCTGTCTGAGCTATTATAAGGTTTTATTTATAAGGTTCTTCCTATATTGACTATGATGACTACGTGTAAGTTTATGAAAACTGCAGGGACAATATGTTTCCAATAAACGTATTGAAGAATTGAAACGATGGGTTATCTAATTGTCAATATTCCATCAGAATGATAAGGCCTATGATCCAATATTTTATTAAGATTAGATATACATTCTGAGAGGATCTTATCGTTCTCCCTCTGAATTTTTAGAGAACCTCCAGATATATGAAAGAAAAACATGAATTTATTAGCTTTTTATATTTTTTCTTCTATTATAGTGATGATATTCATTGCATTTTGCTCCATGGTTAGCAAATGTTGTCGATGCTTGAGATTATTGCTTTTAGATAATATATTTCGAAGAAAATGGACAACACAAAATCAACGAAGATCAAGAGGAGCACATATCGAAGTAAACTGAAACCTGAAAATTTCAGGAAAACCTTGTCTAAAGAAAAGTTTCATTGAGATGACGGAGGAAGAGTATCATCGTCAGCTGGAGTCAAAAGACCGCGTCTTCTTCATTTCTTTTCCAATGCTTCTTTTGGTAATCCAGGTTTTGATGAACATATTTTTACGATACCAAGGTATCAAGATATTCATTAGATTATCATCGGCCTGCGACAGTTCGTAAACCCTGACGATTTCATGGTTAAAAGGACAACAGAAGAGAGAGAAGAAGAAAAGAGCTCGAATTTAGCTTATACCCTCTTAGAGAAGATAGAAGAAAGTCTCATTTAGAGTTGACTGAATTCTGAATTGTGAGAAAATATATTTCTTTCACGCGGTGATTAGCTCAGTGATTTGAACTGGCAAATATTGAATTAATTCTTTGATAAAGTTTGCACTTTTGCATCTGCCTGAGCTAATAAAGCATGAGCATTTTGCACTTTTTTCTTCTATCAATAATAACTGCGATTATAGAATTGGTCGATTCCAGGGGCAGGCGAGAGGATCGAGATTTTGAGTTTTGATTTAACAATTTTTCACTCCGTCGCGCCCTCTTAGTATCCCGCTTAGACTTGAATTAACTTAGAAAAATAGCGACCGAAGAATTTCAACTAATTAATTTAAAAAATAAAACTGGACCCGTTACCAGGCTACGTTTTTACAAGAAAGAGAGAGAAAGAAAAAGCAAGAAACCGAAAGAAAAGAGAAGAAGTCCCGCTATTATTAATTCTTCATTGAGTCGACTTTCACAATTTATGAAGAATAATCACTCGCAAAGAAGAAAAAGCAGACGAAAGTTTTTCTAATAAAATGATGAAAACGACACTGCGAACTGTTTTTGTTCTGATTCTGCTTGTTGGAAACGCAATTGGAAGAAAAGTTGGAGATCGCCGCCAAAAATGCACGAAGCTTGGGAGAGAGTATAAATGCTCAGCTAGGCACCAGCTGGGCTCGACTTGTTTTCATAAAACATGCAAAAGGAAAGTGGATTCAAAAGTTCAAACAGTTCATCTGAGAAATCGTGAGAATGGATTAGTGGATAATGCGGTTTCAAATCCGAGTTGAGCTTTTTTGGCTCGCAGTTTTTTTCTTAAAGAAATTCTTTCAATAATATAAAAATCCACCATAAGTCGAATTCTTCGTTGCTCAAGAAAAGACAATTCCAATCGACCTATTTGGATTGGCTACGAAGGAAACTGCAAGGGTAAGTAATAAATACTTTTTTATTCAGTAATAAAATTCACACTTTTGGATCATAGTCTGGATTAATTGATTAATTTCGGAAGCTAAATGATATTCAAATACCCCAAGTGTGTCAAATGGTGGACTCTAGCAAAGCTGTATGACGTAAAATTCATAAATTCAACGATTTTATATCATAATCGAAGAGCTTGATATTAACGACTCGTGAAATAACGTGAGGGACAAAATAACTTTCTTTGATAAAACAAAAATTGGTATTATCAAAAATTATGTAATGTTTCAAAAAGAATAACTTCTACGTTGACGCCGAATGAATTGTAGTTGATTTGCTGCGCCCTTTTGTGGGAGCTACAAATCTCGGATTGTCCGTGACGTCAAGCTCCACCGCCCGGGTTGGCGACATTTTCAAAAAACCTTTTGTCGAAGTGACGTTGAATTCCATTTTCGGGATCGATGACTTATCAAGTGTCAATAGATCTTCATTAGAGCGCATTCATTTTTGAATAACATACGTATTCAGGAAAGGGTTTCATGAACAACGAGTGGTCAAAAACAACGAGTAAAAAGTCCAACGAATACCAAAACATCACCTCTTGGAATTGCCTTGGAGGATCTTCAACGCCTGTCACCGACGTTGCCCAGTTTGTCTTTCGCCGTAAACTTTACATCATCGCTTCGTCAAACGAAGCTTTCCACCTGTATGAAATCGGAAAGACTTTCCATCCAGAGTACATTCAAAAAGTTCCGGTCAACGGACAAAGTCTGGAAAAACTAGCGATGCTCAGTGTTGCCAAGAAAAGACTGATGCTTGCAGCTGGGAAGAATATGACAACGCTAATGTACCAGTAAGAAGGTTTTATCCTTTATCCTTTCATAATTCTTCTAGCTTTCCAAATAAAGAAATGAAGAGAAGCACGTCTGGTAAACTTTACTATAAATTTGGCTTCGAAAAAACAATCCCGAGCCACAGGCTGACGTCGCGATCTACTGCAAAGTACGCGTCTGATGAGCGCTTTGGTACCTATCGCTGCGAGACCAGACAAGCAAAATCTGGCAGGGTCTACTTCGTACTCGATAAGAAAATCCATTCGAGGTTTCGCAAGCATTTTTCCTCAAAGAATTGGAAGGAAATTCGATCGAAACGAGACGCTGTTGATGGCAGATGCGATATTTCGTCCGGAAAGGTAATTTTCCATAAATGGTTAAAAATAACTTAAAGCCACTTGATTTTAACCGTAAAATATCTTCAGAATATGGACGTTTTCTTCGCTGTCAACAACGAGGAACCTACACGCGGCTATTCCTCGTACATCGACGTGGTTGAAATAAAGGATGCTAACCGCGCTAGCACCGCACAGCGAATACCTCACGAGTATCGCATCACAGCCACAGCAGGTTGCCCATTTATCACAAGATAGCCAACGCAAACGAACTATTTTTAGCTTTTCAACAAGGAAAACGAGCCTCGCTTTATGTGACTGGGGATCAGCGCGGGAGATGCACGATATTCAGGAAGAAATTTTTGAAGACATAGATGACTTTTTCTCCTTCACTTTCAAAACATTTCACTGCCAAAGTCAAAAGTTCAGATAATAAAATTAAAGGGACATAAAGTCAGTTTTTCATCACTGAGTTGATTTTTTACATAAATAATTTTATTCTTGCACAGAATAATTAACACTTATCATTTGAAAATGATGTTGACAGTATCGTACAAACAGCATCAGATGAATTTTATAGGGCAACATCTAGTAGAAATTATGACTAATCATGAACTGTAATTACAGTACTTGAGAACTGCTACGATCAAAGTTTGCGTGGGCAATGAAAGTTTTCGGTCGTGTAAATTTGAAGTCATTTAGGAAGAAAGTGATTTTATTCCTTCTTTCCAGCAGGCTTGACATCTTTGTAAATAACAAGTTGCAAGCATAAGAGGAATGACATGAAAGTGGAGGCAGAAAAGTTCATTATCATCACCATATCGCCAGTCTCCTGGAAGGAGGTGAAAACTCTAGCGAGGCCTCCAGCAAAGAGCATGCCACAAGTAACTCCGGAAAGGGTTCCGCAGTGGCCATTTTTGAAATTTGTAACGACCTAAAATCGATTAGAAATCAATTTTCCAAAATGTTTGTTCACCTGGATAAGTCTGGAGATAACCGTAACTGGAAGATTGCAAAGCTGAAGAACCTGAAGCTGCTCGACAGTGACCATGCCAGAAATAAGTACGTAAACGAAGCCAGCGTAGGCAAGATTGAGCATGAGCCCAAGACCTCTCCGTCCAGTGTAGTCACAGATGAGGAACGCAATGATCATCGTTTGAACGGCCATGAAGAAAGACTCACCCCATGATGAAAAAGGGAAGCCAGAGGCAAGTCCGTAACCGATGAGGGTAGCACTAGAAAGGGTTGGAATTTGAAGAGAGACACTCGCTTTACCATGGGAAGAGTTCCAACAAAACAGAGAAAAGAGAGAGGCCAGCCGCAGATTTAGCTCCGATGATGCTCAGAATTTGTGGGACCTTATTTTTACGTAAGCTCGAAGAGGAGAATTCTTGACGCTACCTTGACGAGAATGCTTCCAGCAATGATAGCAAGTCCAAGTCCTTTAGCCAGAGTTGCTTTGAAGCAATCTTGGTCGAGGATGTCAAACTCATCGAGATATTTAACAGTACATTCTTCAGTAAGAAGGTTGATTCCAGTTGGACCAACAAGTTGTTTCAAAAGATCCATTTCACTCTAAAAATAGTCTTGATTGAATTTTATTCCGAAAATGACCGAATATCAATATTTGTCGGTGAACAGGGCAGAAAATGATGAAAAAGAGAAGATGTTTGTTTTAAATAAGACCGTCTGTCACAGAATTTGACTTCAATTTAACGCCAGCGATGGTCTTCGAGCCAAAGCCAGATGTTTTTGGAGTGCGTGGAGTAATTGAACCCGCTCTTCTTGAACCTGGAGTTTGAGAACCTGAACGGCGCGAAGAAGGAGTCAAAGAGGCCCGAAGACTGGAGTTGCCGATTCCGAGCTTGTTTGTATGCTTGCTCAACAGACGCTGAAATATTTTCAAAATCAAAGAGAAAAGCGAAAGTCATACATTGAGAGCAGGCGATCGCATTTCTGGGGTCTTGCCCATCGATTTCCCGAGTCTGTGGGGAGTCGTTCCGAAGGCGGATTTCTTAGCGCCTGATAGGGTTCTTTCTTTTGCATTTCTCTTTGCGCTGAAGGCGGTTTCGGTCAATCTATGGGCCAGCTCTTCTCGCTCATTCACTAAAATAAAGGTTAGGGAGCAATATTAAGTATTTGCATGAGAATTTTCAAGTATAGTTATTGATTTACTTGAGTCCATGCGGAAAGATGGTGCATTTGATGCGATGGTACTGACGCCTGGAGCTTTTGAATCTGACGTTGAAGCACCTCCTGGCGTCATCGCTCTCTGAGGAGTAGCTTCAAGTTGACCCCAAGTCATGAACGGCGAGTCTTCCACGCCGGGCATTGGACTTGGCGTGGCCAAAAGACTGAATTGCAATTTTAATAGTCGCGGATACATTTATTACAAACCCATATCGACCAGGTGTAATTGGTTTTCCGTCAATGCCGACTTTTCCATCATCTTTAAGCGTATTTTTGATTCTATTGTGAACAAGAGTAGCAACACGATCAGGAGCAACAGGACGGAGGAAAGGGTCTTTCTTGAATCTTGTATTTTCGTGGACGATTTCTCGGGGCTGAGGAGGTTTCTTGAAGATGTATTCTTTCTGTGCCTCGAGTTCAGCGCCGTAGAAAAGAGAATTCTTGTTAGTGTACTTCCAGTTCCCAACGCCAGCTTTCTTCTGCTTCCCAGGTTCACGGGCGTCTTCAATCGCGAGAATCTTTTCGGGCGCTAAAAATAATCATTTAAGACTTTTAGCATAGACAGAAAGACGTACCCATAAGTTTATTGGCATCCTTGTCTTCACACATCCTGTCTCCTTGCTCCTGCGCAGCATATAAAAACGCATATTGCTCTTTTTTCTTGTCTTCTGTGAATTTGTGAACTTTTTGAAATGAGTCGTTGTCTTCAGATGTGAACTTGGTGCAGTATCTGTCGAGGGAGATGTTTTCTGTTCGCGATTTTTTCTTAGTTGGAGCTTTTTCTTTCTCTTGCTCCTCGTCTGAGTCATTTTCGTCGTCTTTTTCGCGATCAGGCGAGCGATCATCTGGTGCCGGAGTACCCTAAACACGGTAAGTTCCTGATTGACTTTCTCGGAGAGCGTTACCTCAAGAAAAGGAGTTCCACCGACAGTCCAAGCGCCAGTAGTCGGCCTTTCCGCCTGTCGCTTCTTATGCTTCATTTGAATTTCGCGCATCGCTTCCACATCGCCCTCCTCTTCAGCTATCAGATAATCGTGCTGGTCTTTTACGTGATCGTAATGGGGGAAGAAATCTCTTGTAATCAGCTTGTCCATGTCGGACAAGTACTCTTCTTCTTTCAAAATCTCACGAGGTTTCTTCGTCAAAATGAGTTTATGCGTCTTTGCGATCGCTAGCTGCCTCTTTCTTTCCGCCTTTGTCAGAGCAGTAGAAGCGCTGGACATCATCGAGTCGGGCATCGATTCAATATCCAAATCCCGCGCTTCTCTTTTCGCTGACTTGCCGATTTCCCGCAGCTCTTCCAGCCGCTTGAAGTCAGATTCGGAGAAGTCCGAAGTCGTACTTGACCTGCGACTAGAGCCGCGATCGGACCTCACACTATGCGACATGACTTTCCTTTTTTCCGATTATGCCGATTGCAGCTGCCAAATGCAACAATCTGAAAGACGAGCTTTTTATGAATATGAAGATTTATATTTTTGCTGGAAATATTTTGCAGATTTCGAATAGTTTTTTGTCAAATAAGTTAAGTTGAACATCAAAGGATTGTTTGTTTTGTATTTATTTGGCGGGCTTTCGGAGTCGCTTGTTCCAGGCGAAGTTATCGCCATATTCTCGGAATTCTAGCTTTTTCTTTCTTGGCTCGACGACTTGATCGATCTGAAATGAATGCAAAAAATGGAAGAATGGGGCCTCATACCTCCCAGCCTTGTCGGTGAGCAAAGTCGATAGCGGCTTCCTTAGTTTTGAAATGCATCCAGCCGTGAACGTTGGAAAGAGGATCGGCGGTAGAGCCCCAGCCCATCGTTGGATTTTCCCTGAAGAATTTAAATGGGGGAATAGAGAGCTTTCCGTTACCATCTTTCCTGGGTATCGAATTCAATTTGCCAGTACTGAGCATTTTTATCGGCAGATTGCATGACGTTTCGTGTGGTTTGGGAAATGGTGACAAGTCGGCCTTCAGTTTCTTCAGTGATTCCAGAGACGGCCTGAAGATTTTTAGAATTTAAGGCAGTGAGGGGATGAACAGACCTTGGCAGCGGCGTGGTGGGTGATGAGGGCATCTTCTGGGTAAGCAAGAGTCTTCGATTTCTTGGTTCCCTTGATGAAGTCGTCCTTTGCTCGAGTGAGAGAAGCTTGGGTGAGAGTTTTCTGGTTGTTAGTCAACACTTTTCTAGGGAGCAAATGATCAGGATTCAGAAAGAGAAACGATCTAATTTACGTGTTTGTTGGTGTGTTGTGGCCCCACATGGACTTGATACCACGGGTAGATGTTTGAACAATCCTCCTTTGCATGTTCTAAAAGACAGGTAGTGAAGGTGGGACGTTTTCATTTTAACGTATGTTTATTAAAGTGATTTGTGGTCACGTGTAGACCGCGTTAATTTTTAAAGCTGACGGTGATGATATTTTTGAAAGAGCATTTTATTGGCACAGAAAATTTGGAATATTATCGAACATTACTGCTCGCAATTCTCGGAGTACTGAGTTGCTTTTCTTGAGATCTTCATTTTGTAGAAACCATCAAGGAGTGAAGAGTTCCAGATTATCCTCTTTGCAGGAAAGCTTCGCCTCGAAATCCTTTCATTTTGCCTAAATTGGTCATTCTCAGAGCGCGCCACTGATTGGCTCTCACGAATTCTCACTACTATCGCTATTTTCACGAATTTTCTATAATCCTTGAAGAATTCAGAGAGTATCACTGCGAAAATACACTTTGGATTAACGCATTCGCCGATGTCCATATACGAATTTTACGAATAATAATTTATTTTAGACGGTTTAAAAAAGATTTCACTCAAAAATGTCTGCTGAATTGGCGTGCACTTATGCTGCTCTCATCCTCAACGACGACGGAGTCGACATTTCTGGCGACAAGATCGCTTCCCTCCTCAAGGTTCGTTCAAACACCCTCCAATCCATAGCGAAGCCTTGATTCTAGGCCGCCAACGTCGATGTTGAGCCATTCTGGCCCGGACTTTTCGCCGGTGCCCTCAAGAACTGTGACGTCTCCGAGTTGATCTCCAACATCAGCTCTGGTGTTGGTGCCGGTCCCGCCGTTGCTGGTGGAGCCGCTGCCGCCGGTGGTGCTGCCGAAGAGGCCAAGGAAGAAGCAAAGAAAGAGTCCTCCTCCGAGTCCGAAGAAGATATGGGCTTCGATATCTTCGGATAATCTGATCACAACCCCTTTCTGTGTCATTTTATGCCGATTAGTAGCCACGCTAGTAGGCAGATAATAAAATAGATAAAGTCGGATAAAGTCGGATCCTTGCATCCTTGATTTTAAAAATTCTTTCATGATTTAGGGTCAAAAAGAACCTAAATCATGGTTTGTCCTCCTTTCCTCATAATTTCTCAGAACAAGAGCTTAGAATGTAAAGATGGTCAAGAAATTGGACACGAAAACTGGGGCGATATTTCTTGGTACGAGCCTAGTACTAATTTTTTACAAGCAAATTGGTTACGCACTCAGGCTTTTCGTCGAATACGGCCCTTATGCAATCCTCGGTCTTTTTATTTTATCAGTTCTTTCCCACATGAAACCTAGAAATTAAAAATATTTTTCCGTACACCTTCCTGAACGGCGTAAACCCGATTTTACTACCGGTATTTTAAACTTTTACCATTTGTTTTTTTCTAGAACAAATTCTCTTCTTTGTGTTTATTTCCCGTTTTTACTCAGTTCCCGATTCTCAGTTTTACTCTTTTCTGCTCTTTTGCACGAATGTTTCCAACTCCAGCAAGTTTGTAAAAGGTCCGATAATTCAGAAATCGGATGAGTGGGCACCTATACGTCGACGATGTGGTGCCCATTTCAGGCCGTAGAAGCTCCACATGTCTCCGCAGGATCGGATTTTAATTTACACATTGATGAACTTGTTAGCGGTAGGCATGTTTTGGCTTTAAACATTTTCTTTCATAGAAGTTCCTTTCTGAATAATATAAATCCACTGTAAAGGCCATCGAGAAATACAGACGCAAAATCAGAGGAACAGGATGATAGCCCTAACAGGAGGTCAACAGTGCATCGCCCGACGCTGAGAGAGAGTCTCGGACCGTCGCCTGCTCTTCAAAGAAGGCGGATGACAATCATGGCGCCGAACAGAAACAGCTTTGGCAACAGAATGAGCCACGGCAGATCCGGGTAAAACTAAAATTACGAAATGGTAATAATTTCCACATTCAGAAACGCTCCAATAATCAACCTGGTGCGCACGGAGTCGAACGGAGACCCACCCCTCGATCCTCACAAAGAAGAAACCGAGGACGAACGAGCCGAGAGTGAATCAGAAGAGAGCGATTTTGGCGCCAACGACATGGACAAAATCTTCTCGATCCAATTTATGGTGTCATTTGACGACGTCTTCTCAGAATTCGCGTTGAAGCATTCGACGATTTCGTCGATCGACGCGATGAAAAAAGAAATTGAGGATAAATTCGAGAACAAGAAGGCAACCTATTCGGACGTTGTGCTTCAAATTGATCCGGAAATCCTGGCGAAGAAGAAAGAAATGCTCATGCTGAGAAGAAAACAGTTAATTAAAGATGTGTGGGAAAAGCAACATCCCTTCCGTGCTCGATTCGCCAGGCTACGCGAAGAAGCAATGGACAAGTGGCGAGACGAGGCGCAAAGAGCGATCGATGAAGTGAACCCGCGAAAAGCGCTGCAGAAGATTCAAAAATACCTGAACTACGATCCGACGGACTCGAGCATGGTTATCATGAAGTCAATGGCTTTTCAACTGCTCAAGGACAATAGAGTCTCCTCAATTGCGATTAACAGGGCAAATGAGCTTGGAGTGACGGAGGAGCAGGAGAAAGCACTCACTTTGAGCTTGGCTGAGGTAAATTCACGAGGACATTTTTAATTAGTTTATTTCATTTTACTGATAATTCAAAGTGTCACTGACAGTATTTTTAGTTACTCAATACTCTATCGGAAAACTAAATAATCTTGTTTTCATTTTCAAAATTACTAAATAAGTAAAAATATCCTTCTTTGATAAATTTTGATCAATAATTTAGACAGTCATATTTAACTTTCATTTTAGTGTGAATTCAAACAAGCAGAAAAGTACGTTGAAGAAGGAAACTACCAACAAGCGATTCGCCATTACAGAAAAGTGCACGAAATTATTCCTGACTTCGAAGATTGCATGACCTGTATCGTCTATCTCGAACTTGATCGTGGAAATACATCGGCAGCAATGGATCTTCTTCTTCAACAAATTCAGCGACATGTAAGTCTGGTTAGAATCGCTGCCAATCGGCTTTTGTCAATCGGCCCAATTCTTTCTGGCCGTTTGCGGCGAACCAGAGGAGAATTCCAGACTAAAAATAGCTATAATTCTACTAAACGTTGTTAAAACTTACGATGCAAAGGGCATCCACTAGAAACAGAAAAGCATTCCCGCCGAATGCCACCAGAAACTCGAAGCTCTTCACAATAGCGAACATCACGGACTCTCTCTTGATTCCATTTATCGCTGAAAACCCACAAAAGAGTAGGAAGACGGAAAAAATCAACCGAGGCTCACTTTTGCCATCGTGCACTTTTGGAAAATCAATTTTCTCTTCGGTTGCGATTTTTTCTTCGAGCAAAAAAGTGTGAAAAACTGTTGCCGCCAGCGCGCAGCTGGAGACCTGCGCCAGGCGCCATACGGACCAGTTTCTAGGTGACCTGGTTTATGATGGTGTAATTAACACTTCTTCACAAATAATGAAACCCATAAATCTGATCGTTGGGAAAATCAAATTTTGTCCTTTTCAGCCGGATCGTATGGACCTTCGAATCCTGCGCACTCGTCAGTATCTTCTCACGAATCGCCTTGTTCTCTGCCACGAGCATTTGGACGCGCTTCTCTCTACCATTCCAGATCATCCCGAAGTGATAAAAATGCACGAAGAATTAGAAAACCGCGGCAGCAAGGCTGAAAACAACTGTATCATATATTTCGCAGCCGGTCACCTAAAAGACGCCCTGGTCTACATCAGGGGTGACCATTTGGGCAAAAAATTATCGTCGGGCCGACCAATTGCCCGCCCAATACCAAAAATCAAGACCCGGGCCGACCAAATGCCCGACCAGTCCAATGTGCCCAGAATGCCCAATCGGGCGATTGGGCAATTTTTCGGGCAAAAATTTTCCCGGCATTTCAGGCTTCTTAAAACTTTACTTTTTTACTTTTTTAATAATTTGTTTCAGTTGAAGTGATTGAACGAATTTTAAGCAAAAAAGGCTCTTGAAAGGTTTGAAAAATATTTAAAAGGGGTCGAAAATAATTATGTAAAAGTTCCGTCCGGTTGTCAAGAATAGACAGCTAACCATAAAGGTCCACTTCACACACTCTTGCATAACCGTCTCGAACAAGGGGTTCAAAAATAAGGGATAAAAAGGATCTGGAGGTCAAGGGTAGAGTCTACTGTAGACAGCTAACCTTCAAGGTACACTTCACAGACCCTTGCAGAACCATCTCCGCAAAAGTCGAGTTAACGGGGTGGATAATTTCATAAAAGGATCAGGAGGTCAAAGGTAGACAGCTAACCATTGAGGTCCACTTCACACACCCTTGCAGAACCTTCTCCTTATCTTTTTTTTCTTTGCGAGCTTAACGACCAATAAGCGGGCAGAAAACGCCCACGTTCGTGATTTTCCCCGGTGGGCATTTGCCCAGCTGCCCAATGGTGCCCAACTGCCCAGAAAATGCCCAAATGCCCGACGTATCCCATGTTGCCCAGCCTATTTTCAGGCGTTGAGCCGACAAATGCCCGCCCAAAAGCGTTTTTGCCCGAAAATTGCCCGATTTGCCCAAATGCCCAATGCCCAAATGGTCACCCCTGGTCTACATTGGCGAGGCGATTGCTGCTCGACCCAAGCTTCTCAGACTTTACCTCTTACGAGCCAAGATCTACCGTCGATTATCATGTTGACGCGTTCGCTGGAGGACTGGAGCTTATCTACAAGGCGGAAGCCGTGAGTTTGAAACGAGAAGCCGACAGTTTGATCTTTTGCATTTTGAACGACGCGGGAGTTTCTTGTTGCGCGGCGGGAAAT